TACACCCTTAACATATAGGAAGCAGTAGAGAAGTTGATTTGATAGTTATACAGTTAATATTACTTTCTTCAGCTTGAAGGAGAAAAAAAACAGAAGCAAGAGGAGTGTGATTACAACTAGAAATGGGGGCTTCATATTCATATATGAATATTAAGGGGGTGGTAGGATGAGTCTCCCTGCTTAGCTGCAAAGTGGCTGGGGGAGCAGGGGGGCAGGGGTGTGGCAGCTTAGCACATTGACAATGATGTCACTGGCACACTGACATACGTTGTGCAGTAAGGGGTTCAGTGGGATTTGGCCGCCTGTGCTAATTAAATCTCTGATTAAAACAGCAAAGGTTACATAGGTTGAAAAGAAGTGTCTTGAAATGCAGCTGGAACTATTTTTGGATTTTGAAATAATCTGTTGAGAAGTAATATTTGAAAAAACTGTTTCCTTCCACCACCAGAGTACCTAATGAAGATATTATGAACCCAGAACATGTCACTTCAAAATATATAGTAACTGAAGACTTGTGTATGGTTGTAAGAAAACCTGATTTGCTCATAGAGACGCAACTTAGGGGCATAAGGAAGCTAGCACTACATTGCTCCCTGAAAGATATTGTTCCCAAGAATGCAGTAAGTAGTAATTGCATTGGCTGGCTTTATTTACTCTTAGAGAAATAAGTCATCTTATTTTATTAACAAAATGTACATTCATATTATTTAGTTTTCTAATGTGTGTTGTTTTAAAATTACCATCACTGGTAAATTTTAGGTAACAGGTAGTAACATCTGGGTGATAATAATGGGACAAATATGCCTAATTTTCCAGCATTTTCTGGAAGTTTTCAATTTTCCTGTAGTTGACCATTATGTTTGTGACTTCATGAAATATCTTCTCAAAGGAGTACAGTGATGAAGAAATCACTGTGAGCCAATAAACCAGGATTTGGTATAGTTTGAAAAAAGAGTTTGGAAACTTTAGCTTATGCCATGATGCTATAGTGTTCCATGCTGTGTGGTTTGTTATCATTGTTCTTCCTGCAGAAGCTATAGCATCAGGTTGGTAAGTGTGACCTTTGAGAATAGTTCTAAAAGGACAGAAAACAAATACAGTGGTGCCTTGCATAACGAGCACCCCGTTTAACGACAAATCCGCATAGTGATGCGGATTTTGCGATCGCAAAAGCGATCGCATTGCAATGTTTTTAATGGGTAAACATCGCATTGCGATGATAGGTAAGCGTTTCGGATCTTTGCATTGCGATGTTTTAAAACAGCTGATCAGCGGTTCCAAAATGGCTGCCGGAAGAAAAATGGCTGCCCGCTGCATTTTCGTGCGGTTTCCTCGTTTACCGAGGCGGCGAAAATGGCGGCCGTATGGAGGATTTCTGCATAGCGGTGAGTTTATCCCCCATAGGAACACATTGAAGGGGTTTCAATGCGTTCCTATGGGGTTTTTTGCCCCGTATAGCAACGATTCCAGGTAGTGACGATTTATCCAGAACGGATTATTGTCGCTGTGCGGGGCACCACTGTATAAACGAGGAGCACCAAAATGATAGATTGCCTATTGTGTGTTTGGAACTTGGGCAATAATCTATGTTCATAATGTGCAAAAACTATCGATTAATGTCATACCTAAATGGATTTTAATGATAGTACTTGCTTGGCTGGACAGATAGCAGAATTCCCTAAAATTCTCAAATTTTTCAAGATAAATTTTGTTCATGAGTTAGACGATTTAATACGTACAGTGGTGCCTCGCAAGACGAGCGCCCTGTTTAACGACAAAATCGCATTACGACGAACTTTTTGCGATCGCTTTACGATGGTTTCAGTGGGGGAATTTCAGGAAGCGATTCTCACAAAATGACGATTTTCGGCCAGCTGATCGGCGGTTTCAAAATGACCGCTGGGTTAAAAAAATGGCTCCCCGCTGTTTTCAGGGGCGGATTACTCACTGCACAGGCAGCGAAAATGGCCGCGCTATGGAGGATCTTCGCTGGACAATGAGTTTCTAGCCCATGGGAACGCATTATTTGGGTTTTAATGCGTTTTAATTTCGCATTACGAAGTTTTCATTCTACAGCAATTTCACTGTAATGAATTGATGTCATAATGCAAGGCACCACTGTACCTCTAATTCACATATTCCCAGTAATGCAGTAAAACAGACATACCAAAGAGGTGTCTTTGAGTCTAGAGCAGGGGTTTCCAAACTTTTCAGCGTGAGGGCCACATCATATATGCATGCACGCCCACCCTCACTCACTCACACACAGGCTAAAGGGAACGGACCTGAGCCTGTCTGAGTCTGCGACGTTCACCGGGACAGACAAAAAGGCAAGGTGGGCCAGATGTGGTCTGCAGGCCATAGTTTGGAGACCCTTGATTTAGAGCATGAAATTGCATAAAGTATAACCCTGTTTCATGGTTATTTTTGCTTTTCTGTGTTGGGTTGCTAGTTGCTTGTGTGTGAAATGTAGGCTTGATGGGGAAAAGGTTGTTCTGCATATAGCAGTACTTTTTTTCTGCTTTTAGACTTGTTTTGCCATGTTCAAGAACTTAGCTAGTTCATTCCTGTCCTCTCCTGGACTACTCAGAGTTGTTAGGATTCTGAATTGAGCTATATATTTTTCCGCCCGCAATAGGCTGAAGGTTGGAAATCAGAAGCAAGGACTGAATTTTTGAGAATGATAAATAACAAAGCAGTTCTAATGAAGGTCTTCAGAGAAGAGAATGGTGTGCTCATTGTAGATCTTCTGAAACCTGCAGCAAATAAAATAAGTAGTGACATGCCTGTATCCCTGAGAGATGCTTTAGTTTTCTTGGATTTAGCAAGGTATGTGATAGTACGAAATAATCAGAGTAAAAATAAAATTAACACATTTTAAACATACGTAAAACTAAATGCCCTTGGAATCGGTGGAATGGAGTGAGGAACAGATAATTGTAGACTTCAATTTGCTACTCTTATTTCCTATCCTCTGAAGAATTGTTGGGGACAGTTCTGATTTTCCAAATTCATTAGCTTATAACATCCCAGTGTAACATGGTTTGTGAACGCTTAGAAGGAAGTATTATATGCTTTCACTCCCATTCCAGAAACTATTATAGGAGAGATGGAGAATTACTTGTCTTCTCCAACCTTGGCAGAGGAGAACACTACAAACACATTGTTCCGTAGTTTGGAAAAAAATACTGTATTTTTCTGTGTATACGCCCCCCCCAAATGTATAAGATGATCCCTAATTTTTACCCTTGCCGGAGGTGGAGGAGCAGTCAAGGGGCGGCCCAGCGCAGCTGCTCCTCTGCCTCAACCTCCTGCTGCTGCTGCCTTCCCACCTGATCGCCTTCTCCAGTGAGACTGCTGGGGCTTACCTCCAGCTCATGTCGCCACCTTGTCCCCTGCCCAGAGTAGGCGATTTGATGACGATGACGGCAGTCAATGGTCAGCCGTGAGAGGCGGCCAAGCACGGCTGCTCCTTTGCCTCAGTCTCTGCCTCCTGATGCTGCTGCAATCTTCTCCAGCGTCACTCGTGGGCTCAGCAACAACAGGAGGCGGAGACTGAGGCAAAGCACTCGTCCGCCTCTCGTGGCTGCCCATTGACTGCTGCCACTGCTGTCAGATTGCCTCCTTCAGCGATCGTTGTTAAGCAGCTTTGTCATAATGCGGGAAAATCGTAAAGCCAGGCACCACTGTAATTCCTTGCTACTTTTGTATCCCACCTCCTTCCCAAGTTGCTCATGATTGTATCCATGATTCGCAGTTTTATTCCCTTGACACTTTGAGCTAGGTTGAGCTGAGGGATGGTGACTGGCCTAAAGTCACAAAGGAGCTTCATGATTGATTGGGAATTTGAATTTTGGCCACTTAAGTTCTCATAACTATGCTGACACTGTTTTGTGCAGAATTTGTGGTTGGTGGTTATACTTGCTGCCCATGCAGGTTACTCATTGCCTTAAGCGCGCTATCTTCCTGCATCCTTTATTTGATTATGTATAGATTTTTGCAACTGCTCTAAATTAAAAATATTAGAAATTAATTATGTGAGTCATGCAGTTTGATCTCAAGCAGCAAGCTTTCAAACTTCTCAACTAGGTTCCAGATGTGTATTATTTACTGTCCCATAGAAGTTACTGGAAGCCACTAAGAAGTAAATCAGTCCTTGACAGATTTTGCTACAACTTGTTCCACAGTTACTTGAAATAGAAAGGTTTTGAGAATAAATTTCTGCTAATTTTCTAGTTACCAGAAAAATTATTCTACACTCTTTTATCAATAGGTTTCGCATTGAACTTCCTGATCAATCTGAAAGGAATATACCACTGCAGTATTTTCCACCAGTGATGCCACAGGAAAATGCAGAAGTTCTTGCTGTTGTTAGTTACATTAATAGCCCTGATGACTTCTATATTCAGCTGGTGAGTTTTATATAGTTTATTCATATGTTTTCCTTCCTAGTGCTTTCTGAAATGCTTCGGTTTTGAAAGCATATAAAGCAAATTTTGGTCCTAGGTGTTAAAGAAATGCATTTTGCAAAACAGATTGTGATAGATATGTAACACAAAGTTAATGGAAAATGTTTCTAGTACTCTAGCTGAGTACGGCCAAATCAGTCGATCAATCCCTATGTTGAACAGAGGTGAATATGGGTCTTCATGGAACCAAAATACAGTGGTGACTCGCATAGCGAAGATAATTGGTGCAGCAAAATTTGCTGCTAAGCGATTTTGTCGCTATGCGATTTTAAAAAGCCCATAGAAATGCATTAAAACCTGTTTAATGTGTTCCTATGGGCTTAAAACTCACCTTAAAGCGAAAATCCTCCATATGGCGGCCATTTTCGCTGTCCGGTAAGCGAGGAATCCGTCCCTAAACACAGCGGGCGGCCATTTTTTTAACCCAGCGGCCATTTTGGAACCGCTGATCAGCTGTTAAAAAAATAATCGCTTTGCGATGATTGGTAAGCGAAACAGGGAATGATCATCGCAAAGCGAAAAAAACCCATTCAGACCATTGCAAAGCGATCACAAAAAGTTAATCACTATGCGATTTCTTCGTTAAACGGGGTGCCTGTTAAGCAAGAAACCACTGTAGTGGAGAGCAGATTTTACAGGACAAAAGGATCCCCAAGGTTTTCAGAATGAAAAAACAGGCCCCAACAGCTAATTAAGAACTGAATATGCATGGCTACAGAACACTTTGGAGGAAGAGTGGGAATGAAATACAGAATGCTTGAGTAACATAGTTGGCTAGAACCCTTAATAGGAGCATGCTTGCATTGCTGCATTGTATTATAGGCTTCCATTTATCTAATCTGTTTATGAAGAAGTATTTTTCATCTGGCACTACTTCGTGTTTTCTGTTTTTGATCTGTCAGTATTTCATATTTTCTGTTGTGCCTATGTTCAGAAATACCACTTCAATAATGCCTGCTACTTTCTAAAATTCCTTTATATCTTTTCAGCTGATTCACATTTGTTGATGAGCATTGTAACCTGACTTGATTGTGTTCTGTTTGCTTGCTGCTTTCTATTACGTTCTGTCAGATGTGAAAAAGAGGTTCTTTATTGCGGTCTCTGTGAATCACACATGTGGGTTTTGCGCCTGTACAGAAGTCAGCCTCAGAACTTTCCAGAGTTTCATGTTTCTCTCTCGCAGCACTTCTGCGCATGACCTACCTTAGCAGTTCTGCTTCAGTTCTCTTTTGTTTGCTCTATAAACAGCATCTTGAGAGAACACCAGAGCTTTCTTTATCGTGGAGTTCTCTTCCCAAACTACTAGTTCCCAAACTATTACTTCCCAAACAACTAAATAGTTGTTTCTCCATTCTGCTTCTTCCCCTCTCCATTAGTTTCTTGAACAAAACAAAAAAGAACTTCATTACTATCGTTGGATTTTCTCCATTCTTTGTGCTTCCTGCTTTGTTGTTTATGGCCTCTAGGGCATTTTGCGAAAAGTGTGTTGCTTGTGGGGTCAGAGTGTCTCACTCTGACAAGACACAAAAAGTGGCTCATTTAGGTGAAGAACCTAAAAGTGTAGGATTTGCAAGGGTTTTACCCAGGCTGTCCTGAAAAACCTCCTCACAAGGCACAATCGTCTACCTTTGGAAGAAGTCAATGAAACTTTGGGAGACGTCAGTGCTGCTCAGAGTGGTCACATAGACTAGATGGGTGGGATACAAATCAAATAAATAAAATTTTCAATGCTGTTCCTCGGACTCCTGCTAACCCACAAGCAGCGCCCAAAGCTTCTTTGACACCCAACGAAACCATGGGATATGTCTCCACTTGGATTTACATCTGTTGGACTCAGATTTCTCTTTGGTTTATACACTAGTCCTAACACTGATACCAAAGCCTACCAAAGTGTTGATCCTGATAAAAAAAGAAAAAAGTTGCTACCATTTTAGAGAAGCAGGATAAGTTTAAAAAACACAAGAAAAGAGACAAATGTCAAGAATCATTCCAAGGTTCTTAATGTTGAGTTGTGCACAGGAGGTACCTCTACATCACATTAGGCTCCCTTACCTGCTCAATTCACCTACATTTTTGAACCCAGACAACAGAGAGATAACGTATCTGGGTTCTGCACTGGAGGGAGAATTGGTTGGATCATCTCCTATTGTCACACCCACATACACCTCCTTGTCCACCAGGTGGGTTGGTGTGGCGAGTGTTGATGGAGTCACTCTCTACAACTTCTCAGCAGGATACCCTGCCTCAAAACTGGAATTGAGAACTGTTGAGATCATGATTGGGATCTCCATCATATTTCTCTCAACGGCACGTATGCTTACCGACACTTGAGGAGGTTCAGACATGAGTCCTGGTCACCATCTGCACATCTGTACTGAAGAGAATATTCTATAGACACTCAGAGCATGGATTAATCATGTCCTTAGTCTATCCGTTGTTTGGAGGTTATAACTGCACTTCCCCCTGCTCACTGCATGGAGAGCATGGCTTCGGTTGGCAGAGGCTCTCCTGGACACCCTCAAGGGGGCCCTAGCTCTCTGTCTGCATTTTGAGTGTCATATCCAGTGGTCAAAAGGAGACTGTCTGTGTTGGTTTCAAAGCCTCCTAATTAGTCAGCCTTGGAAGTGTTTTCTGATGCACAGCAGCCATTCCACACCTCCAGACTGACACTTCTCTCAGAGCCAGCTTCTGAAGGGCCACACTCCCCACAACTGGAGGCATCCAGTTTGGATTTGGATGGCATTCATCAGTCTGTGCTACAATTTGCTTCCCAAACTTTTTCCACTCCTGATTCATATCCTTCCTGGTTAAGCCATAGAGGTTTGAACTCTCCCACCTACCAAGTGCCTAGAGTTTTGTTTCTGGGCAGGTTGGGGCAACAAATCTCTAGGAGCCACATTCACTTTGAGGTGGATGGACAGCGTCCCCTTCATGTTCCATCCCTTTCCATTGATCCACAGGAGTAGCCACTCTACCAAAGGTCTTATAGTCTCTATTACTCTCTATGGAGGACTTTCCCTACCCAACATCTACAGTGCTGCCACATGGTGGTTGCAACTTCTCATTTTTGTCAAGCATTATCAGCTAGATGTTTGAACCCAACAAGATACTTCCTTGAGATGGGCTGTGCTCTCTTCTCTTCTAGTGTAGCTTTTTTCTTTTTTATCAGGGAAGTCAGCATGCTACTCACCCACATATGTAATACACAGATTGTTTCCCTGTAACTGTAGTTCGTTGAGTGGTCATCTGAAATTACCTATCTCTCTCCCTCCTTTCTGTCATGCTCAACCTCTCTTGTGGGGTGGTGAACCAAGAAGAGATGAGGAATAACTGTTAGGATGTGATTGGTTATGCACAATAGTACTGGGGGAGAAGAATTTTTCTCCTGAAGCTGTGGAAGGTTTTCAGGCTAGCTTCTTCACACATGCAAAATCCACATGTGTGACTTTACAAATACTGTAACTAGTTAACAGGTAAGCAACTTATTCTTGTTTTAGATGGAGAACATGTCAGTTTGTTCATAATTTTGTTTTTAACCTGTAATGCTAAGTAAATATTATTCCCTTGCAATTAATACTATTCCATTATAATAGCTGGAAAATGGTCCAGAGTTTGCAGCTTTTCTCAGCAAAGTTGAAGAAGTGTACAAAAACCAAAGAGGAGCCAGCTTCGAAATCATCTGTCCAGTCCCAGGTCAACCATGTGTAGCAAAATTTGACACTGATGGAATCTGGTACCGAGCACAGGTTATTGGTAAGTAACTGAAACATTTTGTTGTTGAATGATGTAAAACTTCTTGAGTGGCAAGCGACTGTCCCTCATTACAAAAAACCAACACATTGAAATTATTGTATAACAACTTACGAACAATAAAAGATTGAATACTAAGAATGTTCTTTTGGGGTCCTTATTATCTGACAGCTACTATAACTTCTTTTTTGTTCTGTCCAGATATATATTTGTCTTTCCCTTAGTGATATAGGTGCACAAGGAGACATGTACCTTCCTGGCTATCAGTTTCAAGTCAGAAGTCCTTCCTTCCCTCTAAATACAGTGCCCAGAATTTTCTTGGTTTTTTGCATAAGATGTATGTCCTTGGGTTCCTGGGCGTATTTTGATCATACACACGGCATTGTGCCCAACAAGCACTACCAGGATGTGTCCTGGGATCTAGTCAAGTAAGCGTCAATGAATGGTGTCAAGTTATGCAAACCTTACACAAACACGAATAGGATTCTTACCAATATATTCTTCGGCATGTATGATTAATGTTGGCAGATAGTAAAATGTAAGTGTACTCTCAACCTTTGTTCCCCGTCCAAACCAGATTTTGGAACCCATTTTGAAATACGACTACCAGTTGGAGGTTTCAGGGCAAGTGCCAAGTAATAGTTTGCCAGTTTTGATATCCTGGTAGTGATTGTTACAGCAAACCTTAAATCTGTCCTTTAAAAAAGATACAACTTATAGATATAGCTCTTATGTGCCAACATAAAGCAACCCTAGTAGAGTTTTCACAGTAGATAAATAATGTCAATAAGGAGTGGTTTTACCAGTGCTTTCCCGTTTCCAATGAGTTTTCATGACAAAGCAGGAATTTAAACCATTGAGTCCTAGTCCATCACTCTGCTTACTGAAAAGCAGCCTAAGAAAGTGTTTTAAATTAGCATATAATAGGATGGAAATGGTTTTAAAAATACCAGAATTGCTGAGTTGCTTTTTCCTAGAACAGTTCAGCCATTGAACTGCATAGAATAAAAGGCTATGAAATTTGCTGGACCAATATCCCCCTTCTCTGCCTTCTCTTTTTTTTATGCATTCCTATCTCCCAGTCTTTGTTATATGTTTGTCTAGCCCGCCTGTGTGCATGTAAGTATGACGGGCCTATATGGTATCTGTGTAATTGCAGTTGTAGCCATTTGTAGCAGGCTGATCAGGAAGGATAGAAGAAAGAAATTATTGGGTTGAGGTTAAAGACAGACTTACTATTCTTCTGTTTTGAAAAAAGGACTTTGAATAGTAAATAAGTAGTTAGGATATTGTGACAAGGTTCGTCTTTGGCCGGGGGGGTTGTGTAGTAAAGGCGGGAAAGAGGCGCGGAGGCGAATCCGATTCTTGGGAAACAACAACTTTATTTGCATGTACACTCAATTCCACCGGATCAAACGGATCCTTCAGCGCTTCGTCGGTTAACAAGGTATACCTCTTGGGTCTAACCACAGGCGCGTTTATCTCCTCCCCTACCAAGGGGCCGGGCCGAATCGTTTGCGGTCCGTCAAGGGTCTTAGGGGTGCACTCCGCACGGCACATACAGTCCCACAACAGGGATGGCGGGCCCAATCCCCCTCTGGAGGCTTCTGTTGGAATTCCGGGCCCGGGCAGATAACTCTCCGGCCCCCACCATGGTAGCCCACCGGGAAAACCGAGACCCTCCATTCTAAGGGCTCGTATGCCCTACCGCGTCCGCTAGGTATAGTAGGCTCAGGCAACAGTCCTCCTTCCTTCTTTAGACTTGGAAAGCCTTGAGCCAGATCCGCCTGGCTCCTTGCATCTACCAGCCAGTCGGTCTGCACCCCTCTGTTAGTGCATCTGCCCAGCTCGCCTTCCCCCAGCCAACTGAACTCCCGCGCATTTGATCCTTTCACCTCCTCCTACATGATCAAGTCCATTTCAGCTCCTCCCTCATCAAGGCACACTTCAGTTGGTCTCCTTTGTGGCTCTTCCTCACACTCTATCTCTACCAAAATCCCCTCTGTACAGCCACTCTCTTCTATCAGGCTCTCTTCTTCTGAGGACGGCACACTTGGTCCTACTCCTTCACAGATATAGACAAACAGAAATTCTACATTCAAATGTTCTGTGAAACCTTAAAGGCTAACAGTGTTGTTGGGCATAAAATACATTTAATTCCAATGAAGTCCGTAAAAGCTGGTGCCAAATGAAATGTTTGTTTTTTAATGTGTCACAAGTCTTTTTGATGGTTTTACTGCAGCAGGGTTGCATGGCTCATCCCTTTGGATATGAGAAACTGATTCCTGTGTTTTGATTTTGCTAGCATTAAAGAATGGCTATAAAGTGATGGTGTTCTTTGAAAGCAGAAGACAAAGTAGGGTATTAGGTCAAAAGTCAATTATATGTATCCCTGATAAAATGACATTTCCCCCCCCCAAAAAAAAATGGTGCTGTAGTTTTATTTTACCTCTCAGTGCTTTACTAATTCCATAATTTTTTTAAGGACTGCTGGGTCATCAAGAAGTTGAGGTGAAATATGTTGACTTTGGTAACACTGCTACAATAAATGTGAATAGAATGCGTAAAATAAAAGATGAGTTTTTAGCCCTTCCAGCAAAGGTAAGTTAAAATACTATCAGTAAGACTACTTTTAAAAAGGCAGTATGTCAATTATATCTGAACGTTTATTCTGCACAGGTTGCATTTCATTGTAGATATGTGTTGTACATTTCCATGTGCACTGTGAACTACCACAAAAGTGAACAATATCAGATTTTCCCCCAATAAAGTTTCCTCCCATAAGCATCTAAGGGAATTACACTAATGCCACACTGTTAAGGCTGGACAAGTTATTGCTGAGTATGGGGTGGATGCTATGGGTCTGAATGTTGACCTGAAAGTACTTAATGCAGTAAAGGAAGGCAATGTTTACTTAATGCATGATTGGAGACCACTGAGGCTTCCTTTTAAAAACCTCCAAGATTATTTTAAAAGGAAAAGTTGCATAGTTTTGTATTGTATTGACCTTTTGTCTGTTTTGTTTGTTCTCTTCGTTCTGTTTATTGTAAACTTCTTTTTAGTGTTATTTAAGTTTATATTGTTATGTTAAACATGCAAAAAAAGGAAGAGTTGCATAAAGTCTTAGCAGATAATCCGATTTGTATTTTTCTGATTTTAGGCCATTAGATGCAAACTGGCTCATATTGCACCATGTAAAGGAACAGAGGAATGGAGCAGTAAATCAAAGGTCAGATTCGAAGAACTAATTCAAGACAAATGCATGCTCTGCTTTGTTGAAGGTAAATGTTTACCTATTTGTAGAGGAATTTTTTAAATATTAGAGGTGGAAAGATGAGACATTACTTGCTCAAAGTCCAAATAATATGCTTCTTTATTTACTTGAGTCATGTCTTACCTTTCATTCAAAACTTGGGCTCCACCGTTAGTTGAGTACCTTAGTTTAATATTCATTTCCCCGGAAATTGGATTCAGAGGTGGCTTATCTCTTTTCCAGTGGTGAATTTTCTCCCTTCTCCCGTCAGTTGTTAAGACTTTTCTGAACAGATAGGTTTGTTTCATGCTGTTGTCATCAATAAGCTTCTAGGTCCTAACACATCCAAACACCCCCTTTCTCTCCCATCCTGCCATATATAGGTTAGTTGAATGGTCAGATCTCTCTGCCCAACACTACAGGGAGAGCTTACTCACAACCCAGCCAATTTAGCAAATAATTCCATCCAGTTTTAGGTGTAATTTTTTGGACTCCAGCCTTGGAACATACGGGATGGCTCTTGAGGGCCAAACAGAACAGTCACATTTTAAGGCATTGTTAGAAACGTACTCCAACCTGAACTTGCATTACTCCATAAATTACCTTTTTTTTGTTTTGTGTTTCGTCATCAGGATGTAAGAAGGGCTTTGGCTTCTTAACTTTGAATGATTTGTGTGCCTAAAGAGAAATTGAAGAAATACTCATTCCCTTAATGAGTGATCTGAGCATAACTCATTCTCTCCCAAGCTGAATCACAGGACTTACCATATTTGCTGGTGTACAAGGCGACTGGGCGTATTAGACGACCCCCCAACATTTCCACTCAAAATATAGAGTGGACGGCTCGGCGGCGGCAGCTGCCCGGCCCGCCCTAGAAGTTCATGGCCAGCGAGGACAAGGGCAAGAAGGAAAGGGCGAGCAGGCGGGCGGCGGAGGAAGGGAAAGAGAAGCAGCTCTCCGGTGGCGTGAGGGCGAGCTGGCTCAGCTGCGAGGGCGAGAAGGAAAGGGAAGCGGGTGGCGGAAGGAGGAGATGGAGAAGCAGCTCTCCGGTGGTCAGCGGGGTGGCGGGCTCTGGCTGCTCAGGCATTCTCCGGTGGTCAGCGGGACAGCGGGCTCTGGCTGCTCAGGCGTGGCCGGCTCTGCTTCCCTCCCTCCGTCCGGACCGACTGCCTGCCTGCCCACCTGCCTTCCTCTCCGGCCGGCGCAGCCCCGCGTCACTCACTCAACGGTGGCGGCGGCAGCTCCTTCCTGGCCCAAATGAAGTGCACCTGGCGTACAAGACGACCCCCCCCACTTGGAGGCATTTTTTGGGGGCCCAAAAAGTCGTCTTGTACTCCGGCAAATACAGTATATGCTAAATAACAAATAAGATGAGCCTTGTGAAATGTTTGATGCATTCAGAACTTTTATTAAGATTTTATTTTGCTGAATTTATCCTAAAAGTCTACCAACATGTACTTTTCATTCTCCAGCCTCTCCTGGCTATTTGAGGAATTATATATATTACACTTCTTAATACTGTATGTTTATTAAGCCTATCATATCTTTTAGAAATGTCAGAAGATGGTATACTGTCAGTTGAGCTTTATGACACTATGGATACAACAAAGCTGTCTAGTGTTAACAACATCTTGGTTGAAGAAAACCTGGCATCTTATATGAAAAGGCAAGTATGTTGTTAATCTAAAATAGCAGCTGCACTTTAGGTTCACTTCAATATGCTGGTAGTCTTCTTTACAGCTTTGATATGTAAACTGTGTACAGTATTTTGATTGCTTCAAACTCAGTGGGAGGAGCATTTCATTTTACTTGTTTAATACTAGATAAAGATTAACATTTTAAATGACATCTCTGTATTTTCTGTAGCAGCACCAAAATGACTACAAGATTACATAATGAAGTATGGGATCCTGCTTTGGAAGAAATCCTCAAAAAAGGGAGAGATGTGTTGCAACCTGAGAATAAAGTCTTATCAGAGTTTGAAGATTTAGAGTTAGATTGTAATAAAGAACTACAAGTGCGAATTAATCAAGTTGTATCTCCGAATAAGATCTTTGTGCAGTTCATGTCATCTGAAAAAATACTAAAAAGGTAAAGAAGCAACCCAGCACAGTGGGTTTATTTGTAGCAAAAAAATACCAAAACTAAATTATTGAACCATATATTCCTGGTCAAGAATTTGTTGGTCTGTAATAATTGACATGTATACTGGTAGGAACTGCCCTTTCCCCCAGAGAATAAGGAACAAGGCACAAGAAAAAGCACTGTACATTCAGAAATAAAGGGCAGCCTGACTGCTCTAATATTTTCATAGTTGTTGTAAGTGTTTCGGGTTCTTTGGCCGTGTTCCGAAGGTTGTTCTTTCTGACGTTTCGCCGGTCTCTGTGGCCGGCATCTTCAGAGGACTGGAGTAGGATCTCTGTCCAAGCTCTGTGGACAGAGTTCCTACTCGAGTCCTCTGAAAATGCCGGCCAGAGAGACTGGCGAAACGTCAGGAAGAACAACCTTCAGAACACGGCCAAAGAACACGAAAAACCCACAACGACCATCAGATCCTGGCCATGAAAGCCTTCGAGAATACATTTTGTACATATTTTGCAAAATACCATTGCAAAGATAATATGTAATAGGAAGATGTTTCCTGTGCACAAGCCAGTTTTATAACTTCTAATGAGTAACGTGCTAATCACCACACCTTTTATCTCCTTATTTTGGAGTGACAGATGGCTAATTATCATTGTCGCCGAAAGAAATTTATTTTCAGATCAGTATTGAACATAGGGATTTGATTGTCTTTTTCATTTTTAAAATGGTAGTTTACAGGAAAGAATGACTGCTACGTATAGTGGATCTGAGAGCGAAACAATTCAGTGGACAGTTGATACGAAGTGCGCGGCTTATGAACGTGACATGAATCAGTGGCAAAGAGGTCAGATCTGCAAGATTGTTTCGGAAAAAGTTGTGGAGGTAAAGAATCTTCAGAAAGACTCTTCAAATTCTCCTGAAGATAAGTTCATTATGCTTAGTGTCACGGGACATACAGCTTGCAGTGGGGGAGATTCATTTCTGAATAAGAAGACCAGGTAGAGCTATATTAGGTCATGAAGTCTTCCCAGCCACGCTTTTTCCCCAGGTGAGCCATATTTAGGTAGATGTATGTATGGATCTGTCAGGTGGAATTGTAGGATTTGGACTCCGAAGAAATCCAAAAATCATCTGTCTAACCAGAATACCTCAGTGAAGACAGAGCATGCTCAGTAGCCATGGGATATTGGCTTGCAATTTTAGGTAGAGTGGGAAATAATGGAAAGGCAAGCAAATACAATCTCTTGAATGATTGAACTTGCTCTGTCTTTCTTTATCTCTCTTCATGTCAGAAGCACCGTCATACACTTAATGAATAGATAATTTCCCCTCAATAACAGCACTGTCAAGAGCACCTATAACATCAAATCTTCCACAGTATATGTTGAGAGTCATACTGACATAAATGTGTGGTTCCCTGATCCTCTCCATACTCCAAAGGACTGTGTCAGTACAAAACTCCCTATTTTGTTGGGTTCACGTTGATTCTGCCAACTCTACTCCGTAGTCTTATTAAGTGACTTCCAGTTAACCCAGTTCTCCGTGTGACTGCGGACTAGATATTTCTGACAGGATAAGAAAAAAAACTAGTTGACTATGAAGGCCAATCAGAATTTGTTATAGTCACTGGTAGTGTTTGATAAAAACCTTTAAGCTCTTGAACTATATTTTTCTTACACTTGCTGGATTAGATTTATACTTAGATGCATGAAGCTGAACTGATGGAAGTGGGACTTCCCTCTCCTCTTCCCCACAGCAGCACCTTTAGTCCCCTGAAAATGTTTTATAAAGAGTCAAGCAACTCTGCTGATTGGGATAAGCCAATGGTTCCCAAACGTTTTCGACTCATGGCTCCCTTGACTCGTCACTGGCTGTGGTTCCCCAATAAAATAGGATTGCTGTATCCGCAGGATCAGTACCCATGGTTTCATTTATCCACTGTCTGAAATTTGAAAAAAACCTCCCAGAAATGCATGTTCTTCGTGGTCTCTGTTAATGAACATTAAATCTGCGCCTGCGCAGGACTCCTCGAAACTTTCTAGAGCTTTAAATCACGTGATTAGTAGGACATTCCCCCGTGGAGCGCATGTTCCGCCTGTCAAAAGTGCCTCAGTTCCTTTTAGCCGCCGCTGAGTTCATACTCCTCTGACAGCTAGAGCGACTTGCAATCTTTGGATCTTCTTTGTTCCCTCTGGGTTTCTTTAATACTTATTTTTCTCCAGCTGGACATTTCCCTGTGAGTTCTTTCACCCATTTCCCCCCCCATCCCCACTCCCTCTTTTCCCCCCTTCCCGCTCTTTATATGGCCCCTCTGGGTCCGTTTAAACTTTATAAACGGTGCAGCTCGTGTGCCAACAAGATTCCCCTTTCTGACGGTCACGATTGCTGCCTTTCGGGGGAGAGCACCAAACTCACTCCTGCCTGGAGTGCAAAAGACTGACCAAGCCGGCTCTTAAAACCCGTTTGCAGCATCTTCGGTCTTTCCACCCATCTCAAGCTCGAAGTCACCCCCTGTGCCTACACGGGAATCTTTGCCTAAGAAGAAAAAGGATCAGACTAAACAAAAGTAGGCTAAACGCCCTTCTATATCTACCGTGGGAGCCTCCCTCACATCAGCTATCTCTTTTCTGATCCTTGAGGAGTCTTCCAGGGAACCACCCAATTCTGACTCCTTGCCAGAGGTTGATGACGCTCATCCACTGCTCAGGCTCCAACCTCTCTACTAAGCCTCTCACTGAGTCATGGCCCTTCAGGAGCTGTTGTTGTCACCTCCTCGTAAACGGTTGGCGAAATGCCACCACCTCTCGCTGTTGTATCAAAGGCATCCACATCAAGACATTGTTTACGTACGTCAGCCTTCTCGTCAATCTCCACCTGACTATTCATCTGGACCCGGTGCTTTCCATGGAATTGCATTTGCTTCCCATCAGGTTCCGCATCGACTTCAAAGTTTTAACGCTTACGTATAAAGCCCTAAACGGTTTAGGGCCTCGATACCTGGCGGAACGCCTACTTCCACCAAGTTCTACCCGGGTCACACGAGCGAGCCAGGAGGTGAGGCTGAGGAGCTTAACGCCGAGGGAGGCCTGAAAAGAGAAAACAAGAAATAGGGCCTTCTCGGCGGTGGCTCCTCGCCTGTGGAATAATTTACCTCCTGGTATTCGCGGAGCTCCCTCGCTGGGCACTTTTAAGAATTTATTAAAGACCTGGATGTTTCGGCAGGCCTTCTCACCAGATTACTTTTGATTTTCTTATCTTTTATTGTCTTTTTACTTTTAATTGTTTTGTAATTTGTTGTCTTATTTTTATAGTATTTTATCTCTGTTGTAAGCCGCCTAGAGTAGTCCTCCGAGACTAGATAGGCGGGATATAAATAAAATAAATAAAATAATAATAATTAATCATACCTCAATTGGTTAACACTTGTGTTTGTACAGAATTTTAACAGCGCTAAAAACAATATCGTCTTAGAAGAAGTGCAGTCTGTATATGATATGTTCAGCATGCAAATTAAACAGAGAAATATGTTTGATTTTTATGTTGTTATTATTTTGAAATTTGACATCCTGGCTGCTTTACACCGCAAGAGTTCTTGTTCGTATGGGGTGGTATAAAACTGTAATAATAACAAAGAATGCAATAATTCCCAAATTTGCCACCCCAGATGTGCCTGTAGTCCCAGATGAGACTACGTATAATTCCCACCAGCCTTTCCTGGCATAACCAGTGCTCAGGGCTTCCGGGAGCTGCATTCCAAGACCACCTGGGGGGTTCCAAGTTTGGGAATCATTGCTATAATGTAACATAAAATCATAACTGCTCATTACATCTAAGTTTATAGTCACCCTACTTGTGGAGTATACACAACGGACGTTCTTATACAACAATGGCTAAAATCCTGTTACTTAGCACAGTAAATTGCACTACAGTAAGCCCACTGATTCAGCAGGGATTTAACAAGTCAACTCCTCTGCAACTTCCATTGATTCAAATGGGCCTCTTCTAACTGAAACTTACTAATCAATGAATCAATGGAAGTTGCAGAGGACTTGACTCACTAAATTTCCATTGATGCAATTGGCTTCCTTTAGTGGAATTTACAAAGCTAAGCAACAGGATTTTGGTTGTTATCTGCAAATAACTATAAATAAGAATAATAATCTCAGAATCACCATGAAACCATTGGGGAAATGTTTTTTGCTATACAATGAATTAGCACTAAATGACAAGAGTTTCATATAGAATATCACAATGTTTTAACCATGGTCACCTGAGACAAATTAGGGGATGGTGTTCAAAAGAAAGGGTCTTTCCATATAGCTTCCACTTACTGGGGGCTGGGTAAGTGAAAATGTCTTGATGGATCAATGCTTGGAAGATTTTAGTGAATGCTGACCCAGAGCATGCTGGAAAGTGTGCAACACATGAATCAAAGCACAAAGTTCCACTAACAAGCAAAAAAAAATATGGAGACTTCAATAACATCATATGACATCATGTTATTGTTCCAAGTGTGTTCTAAATACATGAAAGCTCTACAATTTCGACCAAAGGTTTTAACAGAAATTAAACCCTTGTTTTCAAGCAAATAAAAGAAATTAATACTCCATGGTCTTTGTTTCTGAGAGGTGCTAAAATGCAGTTATGAGACAGAAAGTTATTATAAAGCATTTACATCTATTATTTTGAGAAAAATAATAGGACCTTGGGAGGCAAAGAGAATGAAGGTGAACGCTGAAGAGTCATTACAGAACTGGCAGAGTGGGTATAACAGCCATCATGACTTATATGAAGGGTACATAATATGTTGTTATGCATGGTAAATATTTGCTGGGTATAAGATTTTAAGAGGCTCCTCCTGCTCATGAACCAAAGGCTATGCCAGCCGGATTTACTTAGCCAAGAGCAACAAAAATGTCCATCAAATCTGGCCTTCTTTCTAGGGAGATGAAATGCCCCTAAGTTCCAAATCTCAGTTAAGAGAACAATTAAACAGAGAGCCCATCATAATGAGACTTTCATTTTAATCATTTGTTTCCTGGATAATCTAAAAGCTGAATTCATATCAGAGTTGAAGGCTGTTCCATTGGCCATGAGGAAGAAATCTAGCACAGTAACCTAGCACTGTTAAAAGACCAACTTATGGATTTATTTCATAAGTTTTTTCATACAGGCGCAACCACCATGAATTTGTGTGGCATTTTATAAACCCCTGAGCTGGCACAAGTCTTTGGTAAAATGAAATTATTGGGAAATGTTCCAACTACCAGGCGGCCATGGGGGCTGTCACAACCAGCTCTGGAGCAAGGTTCTTCTGATTCTCCAAGCTGCTTCAGAGGACTCTAGGGCAGGCGCCCTTAAAACACATCTTGAGGCTCCACCCTGGCTAAATAGCAGTGCATAGCGCATGCCACTTCACTGATGCAGCCTCCAAATCTATGGCAACATCCATTGCTCTTAGAACTTTTATAGGAACTGAGGAACTTTCAACAGGCAGCTCATGCACTCCACGGGGGAATGTCCTACTAATCATGTTTTTTTAAGCTCTAGAAAGTTCTGAGGAGTTCCTGCACATGTGCAGATTTAAGCTGGGTCCCACCACTTCAGAGAGCCTCTTCATTCTAGGATGGCTTTGTCCTAAATCTAATCCATTGCTTTCTGTAGGTGTTCCTTTTTGACCTTGGTGTAGCCAAAATGGTGGACACTGCGTATCTAAGAGAACTTAAGGAAGATCTGAAGACACTCAGACCTCTTTCTGTGGAGTGCTTCCTAGATGATATAAGGTAAACAACACATTTAAATACAATTGTGGAGCATATTTACTTCTGCCCTGCTGGTTTTGCAGCAGAGATTTGAAGTATTCACTTCACTGACCCAAGCCTACATAACATGTCTGTTCTACCCGAGTTCTCTAATCATAAAGAAGCATTTGCAATAGCGCACAGCATCAGTATTTGTTATTGCTATTTTTGGCATTTCTCTATTTTTTTAAAAAAAAGTAAATATTTTAGATAATTAAAAAATTATGCCAAATAAAATTGTTACTGTTATGTGTGCTTTGCACGTAGAGCAAGATGCTTTGCAGGAATGGGGTGTGTGGAGGGTGTACTAAAAGAGCAGGAAAAGTCACTTGATTTGAGCCATCATGGTGTTTATTTTGCCACATCCCCCCTTCTCATTCTAGACCTGCTGGTGGGACCGAGCAGTGGACAGCAACTGCATGTGATGCTCTTGCGGGTTACCTAAATGGAGCTCTGGTAACCCTAATAATACAGGTGTGTAGTGGAAGAAATCTTACTGGTTCATGGTGTGTTTTTTTTTCATGGAGGAAGAATAACTTTACTGTTTCAATTATTCATGTTCGACATTACCTGTAGGCATTGTCTAGAGGGACAGGGTAAAAAAATCAAATACATAAATAAGTAAATAAATAAATTTTAATTAGGTAACTCAGGTGTTCTTGGCCTGCAACTCCCAGAAACCCCGGCCAGCACACCTAGTGATGAAGGCTTCTGGGAGTTACAGTCCAAGAAAACCTGGGTTGTCCAAGGTTGGGAACCTCTGCTGTAGATGCATCTGAAACTACAGATGATCTCTCTCAAACCAGATTTTAGTACCAGCTTTCTGATCAGCTGTTCTGTATCCAGTGTGGTATAGTGGACAGAATGAAGGACTAGGTTTTAGATCTGAATTCAAATCCTTGCTCAGCCATGAAAACCGACTGGGGGAGTGGAACTGGTAAAACCGCTCCTTAATAACTTACTTTGAACGCCCTATTAGGGTTGCTATAAGTTGGTTCCAACTTGATGGCAAATTACAACAACATCTTGTAGAATTAAATACGGGTTTTTTTGAAGTTCTGTTTCTGCTTGCTCAGGAAGGCTTTCCTGTTGGGAAAGGGACATGTCTTTAAATTGTTCATTTAAAAGCTAATCATGATGCCTTTCGAGACATGTATATCCTAAACCTACATCTAGTAGGGTTGGCATGTTGAACTGGGATCTAGGTGCACATTTTCAATGACCATGGCACTTGCTGGATAATCTTGGGGCAGTTGCATTCCCTTAGCCAGAGTGACCTCACAGGGTTGTTGGTGAAGATAGAATTAAGAACACAAAAAGCCATTTTTACTACAAGGAGGAAGGACTTCCTTGCAGTCGGCATAAACTTTTTAAATAACTGACCACATTTTATTAGTAACCGACAATACTAACAGAATGTGGCCAGTTATAAAACATTTAGCCTACTGTTGAGATGTCCTTCTCGCTGTATTAAAGGAACATCTTGTAGTAATTGCCAATGTTATTGTCTCTTTCCTTGAGTCTGTTGGAGGAAGAGTAGAGTGGTAGAACATACCAGATGGGTGGGATATAAATCAAATAAATAAATAATTAGAATACCATTTTACTAATATACTTGATAGAGCAGAAGTTAAGCACAAATATATTAGTTGGAAAAGAAGCTGAATTGGTTTTAAAGAGGGTAGCATCTAGCTGTGCCTGCTTGTAATCTCAGTTACCAATGTATTATAAGCGAAGAGTTACTGTGAATTTGGTGCAAATAATCAGATTTTATCACATTGACTGCACACTGACCAGAATATGGTTGCATAGGCTCTGGTCACACAAGGGAAATGTTATGTAGTTATCTACCAATTATATCGGGAGGTGCTTCTTTCCAGAATTAAAGCCAGGAAGTTGGCTGCCATTTATGCTGTAGCTTGTACATAATGTTTTTTTAAAAAATTATGCTTGATACATTAATATGTTGGTAAAAGTATGGGGGGGTGCACAACCATTATGTTACTGGCATGTAATAATTTTTTCTTCCTTGTGTGAAGATACATTGAAACATTGGTATGCCAGGGAGGGCGGTGATCGCTAGTACTGCTGCTGCCTGGATCTCCCAAGTCCATTGTGTCCAGTGCATTTATGCAAGAGCAGCCAATGCCACAGAGGGACACTTTCCCAAACAGAAGCCCCTTCCAATCAATGTTGCCTCTAATTTCCCACTGCCACACACACACACACACACACACACACACACCATGTTCAAGTCCCCCTCCCCATTTTGTGACCAGGGCCATAGTTATGCCTCAGAGGGCAAATGGCATAACTTGGTAGTGGCTTTTCTCTGATAATTAGTGGTAATAAATAAGTCCCTGCTTGGACTTTTTGGACGTGTGTTTATCAGCTGGCTTGAGAGACTCATAAATTGAAGCAGGCAGTCATTCTCAGTGAGAAGCTGTTGCATTTACCTTCCTCAAGTACAGTGGTGCCCCGCGTAACGGGTGCCCCATTTAACGACGAATCCGACAAGTACAGTGGTGCCTGCATAACGGGCGCCCCGTTTAATGACGAATCCGCATAGCGATTGAGTTTTTGCGATTGCATTGCGATATTTTTAATGGGAAAACATCGCTTTATGATTTTCGCATAGCGATGTTTTTTAAACAGCTGATTGGCGGTTCCAAGATGGCCACCGGGTAAAAAAAATTGGCGCCCGCTGTGTTTTCGCGCCTATTCCTCGTTTACCGGGCAGCGAAAATGGTGGCTGTATGCAGGATTTTCGCATAACGGTGAGTTTTAAGTCCACTGGAATGCATTAAACAGGTTTTAATGCATTCCTATGGGCTTTTTGGTTCCTTATAGCGACAATTCCATATAGCGACGATTTTTCTGGAACGGATTATCGTCGCTATGCGGGGCACCACTGTATAATTATGCAATAGGATTTTTGCCATTAAGAAATTAGCAGCAGGCTAATAGTTTGGGTAGTTATTGCATCTTGAAACTGCTTCATTTACATCTAATAAAAACACAGAATATTGGCAGTGTTTTAGGTACATTTTCTAAAAACAAATGTTACTTTGTTTCAGGAAAATAACTCTTTTCCTTTATCTGTGAAAATACTTAGTAAAGATGGTGGAATGTGCACGGACATCTCTGAATACATGATTAAAGAAGGGCTGGCACTTAGAAAAGGAAGGTATGCATATGGCTATTTATGTTTGATATGCACAACATTATACTTTCATAATTCTTCAAAATAAAATCTAAGTTTTAGTTTTGTTATTGAATACAGCTGGTTGCATCTCAGCAATAAATTATCCAGACTATTCCATTTCAAACTTCAGCTGGTGATGATCTTCTTAGGATTATTGAAAGTACTGAAATGATATTTGTGAAGATTTTGAATACTTCAGATAAATTATTCACTATATCTACTGGTGTCTATCTGGTGCTTATATTTTTTAAAATTTATTGACAATTCTAATGAAGGCAATGGTAACTAACCCTCTAAATCATGGGTCCCCAAACCTGGTCCGCGGCCTGGTGCCGGTCTGTGGTATGGGTCCCCAAACCTGGTCCGTGGCCTGGTGCCGGTCTGTGGGCTTCCTGGAACTGGGCCGCAGAGACACATCTCTGCCCCCCCCATGCATGGTTGTCGCAAACATCGGGGGCAGCCGCACCACGCACAGAGCATGCGCCCTAGCCAGTCCCCGGTCCCAAAAAGGTTGGGGGCCGCTGTTCTAGATAACCAGGCTCAGTTTAATTTTTTTCACAAGTAATAAAACTGTGTGATGGACTAAGAAGGGGGGTAGCTCTTTCAGAAACTTCCTTACATTACCACACTATTTTTCTTGATTGATAGTCATTTAAACCTGAAAAAATGTTACAGCAAGTTAAAAGTGTGGCTAATAAAAACAGTAATACAAAACCAGTCAAAATATTCCTTGTATACAAATATATTGTCTGTATACGACAAAATAATGGCACAGAATTCTGAAGAGTTGTCTAGACTTAAGTTTCATTTTTTCAAGAAGAAAAATTTTCAGGTTAGAAATAAAGTTTAACCTAAATCCATTTAATAGTCTCAGCTAATTAGTCTCTTTGAATCAATTTGCAGAATGGTAAGGGAACACTTACATAAATACCATGTATTTTATTTAAGGCGTCTATTCTACTTGGAATTGGTAATTTATTTTCATTTTATTTATTACATTTATATCACTCTATTCCAGTAAATATAGTGCTCAAAAAAGCAGCCAACAAAGTTATTGGAAGAAATAAAAACGACTAAAGCCAGCATTTATCTACATAAAACTTTAATAAGTAAAATAAACGTGGCCCACTGTAAAACCATAGAAATCAGCAAAAATCTTTCAAAATCATTAACATTACAAAGGATACAGATTAAAGGCCACTGCAGGGTAGGTCTAAAAAGATTCAGTATAGGTCTCTCTACAAGTGTTTGATTTCTTTGTCAGTTGACATATTTGTTGAATCTTGATTACAGACCAGCTGAAACTGACTCAAGTACAACATCCTCCAGTAAACTACCTGAAATACCCTTTGAGCAAAAGGATTCAGATATAAACAACTTGCTAACCAAAACAGAATGTGCTCCAGTCCTTTCTTTACCAGAGAAAGAGGTTGATCCTTTACAGAAGGTTACAGAATCTAAAGAGGAAGAATTCAAGACGCCTGTGAGTCAGCCAATGACTGAAGCCTACAAGCCACCAGCTCTCCCGAGTTCAGACACCTTCACTGCTATAGTCAGCTGTGTTTCAGAAGATGGAACTATTTATGTAATCCCAAAGTCACAAGGTAAAACAGAAAATCAAATGCGCTTCCCCGCAATCATCGCAAAGCCCCACCGATCAGCTGGCTGAAAATGGGGGCTTTGCGATGATCGCTTCCCTGCGATCATTGCAAAGCGAATTTTCCCCATAGGGGCCATCGCAAAGCGATCGCTTTTGCGATCGCAAAAACAGCGTTGCAAAGTGATTTCTTCACTATGCAGAGCAATCGCTATGCAAGGCACCACTGTATTTGTATTTAGTTAATTTGGTACTTGAGAGCCAGAAGTTAGGTTCACTATGCAGAGCAATCGCTATGCAAGGCACCACTGTATTTGTATTTAGTTAATTTGGTACTTGAGAGCCAGAAGTTAGGCGTCTTCCTGGTGCCTCCCGGGAGCAAAGCTAGTCTTTTTGCTTTGGGCAAGCTTCACAGATCTTGATTTTATTACATGATTTATGTATTTTTGTCATGGAGCAGATCCTGCTGAATTATATATACAATTTGGGACACCCAGTATCCACAGGACCACTATCTGCGATTTCACTTAACTGTGGTCTGAAAATAATAATAATAATAAAGAAAGAAAAAAAGGCGGGGGATATAATTTTCACATGTATTACCAAAACTGGCCACTAGAGGGAGCAAGAGACAGTGTTATGAATTCTTGTAGAATACATAGGTGAGTCTTTAGTGCACTCTACTGGTCAGGTTTGATAGTGCATGTGAAAATAATTCTTTTCTGGATTTTTTCTTTTACCATGCAGTGTATAGCATTTGCTGTTATCTGCAGTTTTCAGCTTCTGAGGGGTAGTTTTGGAACTAATCCCACATGGATATGAGAGTCCCACTGTACTGTGAATTAACTCCAGAGAATTGTCTTTTTCTTCATTTGAGTTCTGGTGTCACCTATTTAGGCTTAAGAAACAATCTATGTTGCTGTGGGTTTTTCAGACTCTTTGGCCATGTTCTGAAGTTTCATTGAGAATAAGTGGAAGAATTTCTAAACCATCTCAACAGCATGTACCCAAATATACAATTCACCATGGAAAAAGAAATAGAGGCCAACTCTCTTCCGTAGATGTCATGGTCATACGCAAAACTGACCTCCAGTTGGGTCCCAAGGTCTACAGAAAACCCACCCACACAGACCAGTATCTACACAAAAACTCCAAACACCACCCACAACAAAAAAGAGATAGAATCAAAACACTGGTCACCTGTGCAAATCGGAACTGTGAAGCTCAATTTCTCAGCACCAAACTCAACCATCTGAATAGGGCCCTACAGGCGAATTAATGGCTAATCAAAAGAGGCCATCAAATCAAGAAAACAACACCAAACTGAAGAGAAAAAACAGCCACCCACAAATAAAGTATTTCTGGCATATATGAAAGGGGTCACGGACTGCATGGGGAAACTTCTGAAAAAACACAACCTACAAACAGTATTCAGGCCCACCACAAAAATACAACAAATGTTACGGTCAGCAAAGGACAGAAGGGACCCTCTCACCACTGCAGGAGTATACCGGATACTTTGCAGTTCTGGCCAGGTGTATATTGGAACCACAAAACGCAGTATCCACATCAGAATCAAAGAACATGAAAGACACTGCAGACTAGAACAACTAGAAAAATAGTGTGGTAGCTGAACATGCCCTAGAACAAGCTGGACATAAAATTCTATTTCAAAATACTGAAGTACAGGACAACACCAGCAAACGTTATCTTAGACTGCACACAGAAGCCATTGAAATCCGCAAGCACCAGCAGAGCTTCAACAAAAAAGAAAGTTTGAAACTCAACAAAGCCTGGCTCCCAGCACTGAAAAATACAGGCTGCAAAAACAGGTCAACAAGCTCTACCCAGCCACAAGGATCACTGCACAGAAAAGACCATCTAGCGACACCCATCAATCACAGTGACATAATCTCTCCCCTTTTTCACAGCAATAAACCCACAACAAAAACACACTGATCACCATAATCTCCTGAAAAGGACAAAAGCTATTCCCACAGTTATAAATACTCAACTACCCAAACAAACAGCAACAGAGCATGGACAGAGTTCCTACTCCAGTCCTCTGAAGATGCTGGCCACAGACTGGCGAAACGTCAGGAAGAACAACCTTCAGAACACAGCCAAAGAGCCTGAAAAACCCACAACAACCATCAGATCCCGGTCGTGAAAGCCTTCAAGAATACAGTCTTATGTGTTTTTTTTCCTTCATTTCATTTCTGTTTCTTCCACCCTCCACAAATAAAACATTAATTTAGTAATCAAAATTGGGTGTGGTTTCTTAGCAAAGAAGCACTGTTTTGCCACTTCGCCCACTGTTTCAATTCTCATGCTGTAATTTCAGTGCATGCATGTTTCCCCAGCCCCAAGGAAGGCTCTGTCGTCTGAAGAGTTCAGAGTATTTTATTCAAAGGTGCATGGGGTTTTTTTTGTGTGCCTGTTCTAAAACAATCATTTAAGCCACTGGTTCTTAACCTTGGGTTACTCAGGAGTTTTGGACTGCACCTCCCAGAAGCCTTCACCACCAGCTGTCCTGACTGGGGTTTCTGGGAGTTGCAGTTCAAAACAAAATTATTCAACCCCCACTGAAATTGGATGTTTTGGCCATTTTGACATTGATTTTGATCATTCAGTCATCTTGCTTATATTTACATGAAAGAGGCACTTGTAGGTCAGAGAAATATAACCTTAAGTTTATAATGAAATAACCACAAATGTCTTTTCTGTGCTCACATCATTATTAGTTTTTATTCAACCCCCAAGTGACATTCAATCTTAGTACTTAGTACAACATCCTTTTACAGTTATAACAGCTTTTAAACGTGAAGCATAGCTTGACACAAGTGTCTTGCAGCGATCTACGGGTATCTTCGCCCATTCTTCATGGGCAAAAGCCTCCAGTTCAGTCAAATTCTTAGGCTTGCGCACTGCAACTGCTTTCTTTAAGTCCCACCAGAGGTTCTCAATCGGATTTAAGTCTGGTGACTGCGATGGCCACTCCAAAATGTTCCAGCCTTTCCTCTGCAACCATGCTCTAGTGGACTTGGAGGTATGCTTGGGATCATTGTCCTGTTGAAAGGTCCAACGTCTCCCAAGCATCAGGTGTGTGACGTACTGCATCACATTTTCATCCAATATCTCCTGGTACTGAAGAGAATTCATGGTACCTTGTACACGCTGAAGCTTCCCTGTACCTGCAGAAGCAAAACAGCCCCAAAGCATTATTGACCCTCCGCCATGCTTCACAGTAGGCAAGGTGTTCTTTTCGTCATATGCCTTGTTCTTCCTCCTCCAAACATAGCGTTGATCCATGGGCCCAAACAGTTCTAATTTTGTTTCATCAGTCCACAGAACACTATCCCACAACTTTTGTGGTTTGCCCACATGACTTTTGGCATACTGCAGTCGACTCTTCTTATTCTTGGGAGACAGCAAGGGGGTTCTGGCATGGAGACCTTCATCACGCAGTGTGCGCCTTATTGTCTGAGCTGAAACTTCTATACCCACATCTGACAAATCTTTTTTCAGTTCCTCAGCAGTCACACGGGGACTTTTCACCACTCTACGCTTTAGGTAGCGCACAGCAGTCGAAGTCAGCATCTTCTTTCTTCCACGACCAGGTAGCATTTCAACAGTGCCCTTTGCCTTGAATTTGCGAATGATGCTTCCTGTGGTGTCTCTTGGTATGTTTAACTTCTTTGCAATCTTCTTATAGCCATTGCCCTTCCTGTGAAGACAAATCACCTCTTCTCTTGTCTTCCTGGACCATTCTCTTGACTTCACCATGTTTGTAACCACACCAGTAAATGTCTAGAAGGAGCTGAGTATCACAGTCATTTTAAAGCTGCCTAATTGGTGCTTATTATGCTTGATTGGTGCTCGGTGACATCCACAGGTGTTTTCAATACCTGATCGAAAACACCTCAATAAACCTCTCTTCTTCAGAGTGGTAGTCTTTAAGGGGTTGAATAATTGTGGCAATGATCACTCTAGTTTTTTTTTCTTTAGAACAACAGCGAAGGGAATTGATGAATGATATTCAGAATAACTTCAAGTGTCTGGGTCTGCTGAAGCCATATAGTTGGAAAACAGGCGAGGCTTGTGTTGTAAGAGCGGCAGACACAATGTGGTATCGTGGAAAAGTTAGAGAAGTTGGTATTGGCATTATCAAGGTAAGATGCATTTTGATTTAAGGACTGCACTTTCATGTGCTGGTAGAGACTTTTAAAATGTACAATAGGTCACCTTTGGTGTGTGTTTGGCATAAGGTCTGTGGGATGTTCTGTGTCTTCTATCCACAGTATTCATTAGCCAAGAGCAGAATTGATTTTTGCCCCTTATACAGCAGATTTCTTTCCAAGAACAGCCACAAGGAGGAACGAAAAACACTAGACTGTATTATCCAGAAGTATCTTGTGTATTTTTAAAGCTCTTAAATTAACTATGGTGGAAAAATGATTTAGATATATTACAATAAAATAAAATAAAGGAAATTGAAGCCATGGGTGATGCTTTATGTGAGAGGGACATACAAGACCAATTTGTGCAAAAATGTGCATAAATACTCAACCAAAATGATGTCAGATGAACCTTCCTTCCATAAGCTAGTTACTTAAATTTTTGTCTCCATGCAGAGACTAGCTTTGAGTGAAGAAGGGAGCAATAGGGTTATAGCTGCTTCCTCCAAAACCCTTGAAATAATGTGTAGTCTGATATATTTCTCAGGACACTTATACATATATGCACTGACATTCATCTACAAGCTGTGGAATGTTGTGTTTCTGTTTTTTAAAATTAGGTACAGTACTTGGATTATGGATATATTGAAAAAATTCCTCAATGTCATCTCTATCCAACTGTTTTGTATGCAGACATACCTCCATTTTCCATACCGTGTGAGCTTTCTAAAGTTGTCCCAGTGAGTAGATGCTTGTTGTTGTTTTTTAGTCGTTAAGTCGTGTCCGACTCTTCATGACCCCATGGACCAGAGCCCGCCAGGCCCTCCTGTCTTCCACTGTCTCCCAGAGTTCGGTCAAATTCATGCTGGTAGCTTCGATGACACCATCCATCCATCTCGTCCTCTGTTGTCCCCTTCTCCTGCCTTCATACTTTCCCAACATCAGGGTCTTTTCCAGGGAGTCTTCTCATGACTTGCTACATATTATTAAATATCGACTAACAGTATTTGGGGAAGTATGTGTTATTGGATCTAGTATAGAGATAATAAAGAGACTGCTTTATATGTAATACCCATTTCTTCATAAGTTGTCTTCATAGGTATTTCTTGTTTCCTGCATATGAGGAGACAACGAGATGCACCAGACTGCTGCAGAGCATTCTGCAGTTTAGTATGTGAAAGTGCCTGGATAACACGATTGCATTCACATTGTGGGATGGATGTGAAGCAATAGACTTGTCCTGTAAACAGAAACACATGGCTTTGAGTCATGATTGTATATCTATTCACAGATATACATCTGAATGTGGAGAAGCTGTTTGTGATAAGAGTAACATCTTTTCTGCAGTACCTCTGCATCAGTTTAATATCTGTGCTTTTAAGATGCAATAAAGAGATTATGATGTCTAGAGATGTACATCTAGGCAATCCAGTTCTTCCAGCAAGACGGTTGATAGAAGTATGAGCAAATAGAGCTTGAAAACTGAATTTATTGTGGTCTTTCTCTTAGCTTTCCTCACACTTTGTAAATCAGGGTTCTGGATATTCTTACAACAGTTTTTCAGAAATGGAAGCATAACAAATTGTTTCAGTCAGAAATAAGATCAGTGAGGAACAGCTACTATGTGGGCCAAGACAACCCAATATCCAAGTAGTAATAGAATGCATTTGTGATTGACCTCTGTTGTGGGATGGGAACTTGCCAGCTTCTGTCTTTTAATGCCCAAATCATTTTGTTTTGTAGTGTACCAACCTTGAGCAGATTGAGAGGGTTTTGATGACTAGCTTTCTTTATTTTACTGATGAGCTGGTCTGTCTCACTCTTGGATCATTATAGGTTGGAAATGTTTGGCAGCAGGATGCTGTTGAACTTCTTCAAGAGCTGCTTGCAGAACGGCTCGTTGAAATTCAAATTATGGTAAGCATAAAAGCCACATTGTGTAAGAATATGAGTTGTATATCTTGCAGTGAATAGGCTTCTTGTGAGTTTTGTGTCAGTGTATTTTGTCAGTTGCCAAGTGTAGTCTATATATGCAAAGTAGGTATCAGTGCAGCCATTGCCAAGTGTAGTCTATTTATATATGCAAAGTAGGTATCAGTGCAGCCTTGTTTATGTTTCCTCCTTGTTAATTTATAAAGCAAGGGGAATGGGAAAGAATTTAATAGGAAAAGAATCAGGTGGATGGAAGGAGCTGGACCCCCTCTTCCCATACTCCAGGTCACTTTTTCTTCCAGTAAGCCTCTGGTAGTAGAACTGATTGGGAGAAGAACTTAAAGATTATATAGAATGCGAAAGGAAAAGGATCCATTTTGCCCATCTTTGCATGTCCTCTTTTATTAACCGGGGATGGAGAGCAGTTGATATGGTCCCAGTGTTGGGGAACTCTACCAGTGCTGCAGAGCATGGCCAATGAAAAGAGGTTATAGGAACTGTATTCAAAAACATCTGGTAGGCCAGCTGTTTTGCAGGTTGTTACTGAGACATTGCTTGTTCCATAAAAGGAGAAAATACTCTTAGTATACATAATGACTGAAATCCTGTTTATAGCATAAGCCAAGTCATAACTTTCCATCTGTTCCTCCCTTGTAAGCAAAGCATCTCTGCCACAATTCTTGCATGCTCATAGATGCATTAAGCCAGCATGTGCCCCTTTCCCTAGGAATGGTTAAAGTGGTGCTTTGTTCACAAGGGAGGGAGGGATGAAAAGGTGCTACTTGGCTTTCTCTACATTCAGGATATATAAACCACTGAGCAGCTAGTATGATATTGAAGATGTTGTTCTTGGGTTATTGGTCCTGATGCATAAAGTTGCCAAGTAAATAATCTAATACAGTGGTGCCCCGCTAGACGCTTACCCCCGCATGACGTCGAAATCGTTTGATGATGACATTTTTGCGATCGTTATAGCGATCTCGAAACAATGGCTTCAGTGGGAGAAATCGCTTTACGTTGATTAGGAGCCTGTCTTCAATGGGGGAAATCGCTTTACGTTGATTAGGAGCCTGTTTTTTCCAGCTCCGCAAAATGGCTTTCCTCCCTTCTCAAAATGGCTGCTCTCTGGTTCCGCAAAATGACTTCCCTCCCTTCTCAAAATGGCTGCTTTCCGGTTCCGCAAAATGGCTTCCCTCTGCAAAATGGCCTCCCTCACTTCTCAGAATGGCTGCTTTCCAGACAGAAGCTTCTCATTACAGCGAAAATGGCTGCTTTCCAGACATAAGCTTCTCATTACAGCGATTTTGAACAACTGATCAGCAGTTCTCTATGGGCAATCTTTGCTGGACGATGAGGTATTTCCCCCATTGGAACGCATTGACCGGTTTTCAATGCATTTCAATGGTTTTTTTTTTCACTTGACGATTTCGTTTAACAGCGATTTTGGTGGAATGCATTATCATTGTCAGGCGGGGCGCCATTGTATGTGAAGAGATTTTGGTGGAATGCATTATCGTTGTCAGGCGGGGCGCCATTGTATGTGAAGGTGAATCAGTTGAATAGTAGCAGCATTGTTAAAATCTTAGGAGCAAATATTAAAAAGTGAGGAAGCAGAATCATTTGTCAGTTGTTTTAATAAGACACATGTACTTCATCTCATGTGAGAACTGTAAATACTGCAGTCCTATCAGATCTAGTTTTAACTCATAGGCTACCATGCAAACCTCTTTTAACGCCATTCTAGTTCAGGTTCTGCAGGGGTGAATGGTAATCATAACACAGTGGAAATCGATACAAATTGTGAAATCCTATTTACTCTCAGTGCAAGCCTCTTTTAATGCCATCCTAGTTCAGGTTCTGCAGGGGTGAAATGGTAATCATAGCACAGTGGAAATTAATACAAATTGTGAAATCCTATTTACTCTCAAATGAAATGTGTCTTTTAAAATAATATCTCAAAGTTTGTGCTTCCCCTTGCAGTAAAGTATTTTGCATTTTTGTGGTCTGATCCAGTTGGGGAGTTGCTGCTTTTCTTATAATCTGCATATCACCTATGTAGGTATTTAAACCTCCTGTTAGCCCAGTATCCTTCATTAGACTTATTTGGGGAACCTGATTTCTCCCTACCTAGTTCAGCACTCATGCATATAACCGGGAATGGTGGACATGCTCTATGTTTGTCATTTTCTTAGGCTGCATACCTCCCTATTTTTCAAGGTTGTGTATCTTTGTTCTGTACAGCAGCCACCATACTGTAGATGAGGCTAAAACAATAACCTAAATGATGACTGTTCACAGGAAAGGTTGGACAACCCATGGGGAAACGTGTCCATTGAACTTATTTTTGCTGGGATGTCACTGTCTTCTTTCATGGCGTACCATAAACATTGTGTTAGTGAAGATGATGATGCTAGCATTCTAAAACTGGTAATCTTTTTTTCTATCTTCAAAAGCCAAATAAAGTTTAAGCCATTGTTACTTACTGTAGCCATTTCCCTAGCATTATAGAACTGTGTGTCATGTCCTATCCAGTGTAGCATTATAGAACTGTGTGTCATGTCCTATCCAGTGTTTCTCAATATGAAGTTAGTGCTTATGTAACAACTGGCAAAGAGGGAATCCAATGCTTGTTGTGGGCTTTTGGGGCTGTTTGGCCGTGTTCTGAGGTTGTTCTTCCTACTAACGTTTTGCCACTCTCTGTGGCCGGCCTCTGAAGATGCTGGCCACAGAGATTGGCGAAACGTTAGGAAGAAAAACCTTCAGAACACGGCCAAAGAGCCCAAAAAACCCACAACAGCCATTATATATCCCAGCCGTGAAAGCCTTTGCGAATACAAAGAAGTAATCCCTAACTGAAGTTAGGAGTAGCACTGGAAAAGGAGCTTAAAATGATTATAATACAGGGCACTGCTTAATATATTAAGAGAGTTTACTGTATGTTACAGAGATATGTAGAGTTAGCTAGAGGTGATTGTAGTTGAACACAAGACTGTGGAGGGAGGAAAGATTTCTGTATGCACTATGAGTTAGCAGGTGCTATGGTTTTACTGCAGGAGGTATCTTTTTATAGGTAAGCAGCTCTGTATATAAGGCTGAAATAGAATTTTCCAGATTAACCAGAGAGCTCCTGTTTGCTTGTTTTAATGTATTTTCTCAGGCTGTGAAGAAGAAGACATCCAGGGATATGGTTAACTAGCATTGTTGTGTAAAAGAAAAATGCCAAAATCTACTTTAATAGTCACACATTTATCTGACCAACCAACAGAGCAGGAAGGCTTTTGAGAGATCTCTTATCTTCCCTTAGTCAGGATGTACAAAACATATATGTTGGGAGATGTGGCCTCAGAGGGGAGGATGAGCAACTTGCAGTCATGACATCTCTCTTCTCTAAGGTAGTCGAAATGGGTGTAGGGAAGATCTGCAGAATGGAGTTCTAGCAAATGATGTGTTTTCAGAGTTCACCTGCTGTTTTTCATACCAGCACATTCTTCCTGATTCCCCTGGTCTCTGTTAGCTTTCCTCAGCCCAGTGTAGTCCTGCATTGGAAGAAATCAACTACTTGACCTGTATACTAACTTTGCTTTGAAGCCAGTTTAAGTTTCTAGAGGTGTATTATCACTAAGTATTAAGGAAATATTTCTATTACTTTCTAGGGTATAGCAGACTGCAGTGAATATCCATTGGAAGAAAACTGTGATATCAGCCATGAGGTAAATACTAAGTTAATAGTGAGTTCTTCATTGTAGCCTCTGTGAATGCACACATATGGGTCTTGTCTGTGCCTGTGCTGACAGTCTCAGAAGATTCTAGAGCTAAAAGTAACAATTATATGGTGTGATCATCCAGGAGGCACATGCTCCTCCCACCTATCGTTCCCCTCAGTTCCTTTTTTCCACTGTGCTGAAAGGTTCTACGGAAGAGAAAGCACAATTTTTTGGCCTTTATATCACAAAATAATCCTTGCCATTTTCAATTACCTCTTCTACGATCTAAATTGCTGATCTCTTGTGAATTTTCTTCTCCGTTCACCTCTACTTTCCTCAGAATCCCTCCCCTTTCCCCTCCCTGAGACTTTCCAACCCATTTTTCCCCTTCCTTCCCACCCTTTATGGCCTCTTCAGCTCTTTTCAAGCATTGTGTCAGCTGCAACAGTAAAATAGCATCTTTCGACGGCCACGACAAGTGCTTATATTGTTTGGGCGAACAACATCAGACTCAGTCTTGCGCGGCTTGTAGGAGCTTTACTAAACCCGCGCTGAAACACAGACTCCAAAGGCTAAGATCTCACCTTTGGGAGGCAGCCATGAATCCTGCTGCTGCTGTTCCTACCGAGACTCCGCATTTGGACGCAGTGGCTCCGTGGCAAAATCCATCCTCCGCCACCCCGGAGCATTCTACACCTTCGCCCTGCTCTAAAGAAGGCTCTGATACATCTAGGGCTTCCAAATCTAAAGCCCCTAAGGAGCACAAACCTCCTAAGAAAAAGAAGGAAAAACCTGTAACCAACAAGTCTCGACCTACCTGGAGAGCGCCCACCTTCTCTGATACTGGGAGAATCTTCTCTGGAGGCGCCAGGATCTGTAGTGGAACAGGATGAGGTACATATTCTTTTGTCACAAGCTGCAGTCATGGTTGGTAGCTTTTCTCCCTCACTGGCCACATTGGGACTGAGTTTCCATCCAGTTTGGGCACTGCCCATTCGAGCCCTACATCACGGCGGGCTTTTGACACCGAACCATCTGAGCCCAAAACTCAGTCTCCAAAGAAATGAAAGGAGAAGAGGAAACATATTGAGCCTCCTACTCCAATGTCTCAGCTTAGTCAATGTTAACAATTTCCATTTTTCCTGGCTTACCAGCAGCTTGCCTTTGAACAACTCGGCATGGAAAATTTTTCCCCTTCGCCAACCAATTTCAAATGGAAGCATATCATGGATTCTCCCAGACGACCCGAGCAAAACGGTCCCTTCATGAATCTCTACCACACCATGAACAGGCTCCACCTTCAACGCTGACATCGAAGCCTCTGGTACCCCCTTTGACATAGATATCAGTCTCGACATCAAAGAAAAGTCATTCTCACTCTGGTGGCATCCACCCACCGAAACACCCTAAACACTCATCGAAGGAACATCATGTCACACCGACTACAGTACCCCACCCAGTCCCACCTACAATATATGCATCTCAGACGACATCTCCATCGGTCGCAGATCAGGACACTGACACTAAATCATCACCAGAATTTCCTGCCAATATACCCAATCCTGAATCTGATCCTATTGATACTCGCCCGTCCTCTCCATCCAAGGACTTTACTTCTTATTCCTGCTTAATCTCTTGCGTGGCTTCTGCACTAAAGCTCCAAGTCAAAGAACCTCCTTCCCCTGAAGCAGATATTATCTTCGATGACATCAGCAATGAGAAGTCACAACCACTTAGTCTTGCCTTTATACCTGCCATGATGCAAATAATTAGAGACGCCTGGGACACACCACCCTTGAATTTGCGCATCTTCAGACGTACCAACAACATGTACAGAACACATGGTTCCGACACTGAATTTCTGGCTAAAGATCCTATTCCAAATTCTATCATAGTTCAGTTTGCCCAAATCAAGAGGTAAATCATTGATTTCACCAAGGAAGGGTGGAAACTCGATGTCATGGCTAGGAGAATCTATTCTTTGCGATCTTTCCTCCTCAGAGCTGCTAATTACCAGGCAGCGATGGGTGCCTACCAATGACATCTGTGGGCAAAAATCCTACCCATCCTTGAATCTGCCCCAGAGTCCATCAGAACAGATCTTATGAATGCCCATGCAGAAGCGACCACCCTGACAAAGCAACAAAAGATCGCTGCCAGGCATGCTGCTGAAGCCGCTTCTAAGTCTCTAGCATCTTCTATAGCCATTCATCGACACGCTTGGCTCAAGTCTACATCTCTGGATAAAGATGCCAAACACAGAATAGAGGAGCTCCCTTTTGATGACATGGGACTCTTCAACCAAATAACAGATGACACCATGGAAAGTCTTCATAAGATTCGTAAGACAGCTAAAACCTATATGAACCAGCCATCCTTTTGATCCTATAAGCCACAATAAAGACATTACCAATATTGCCAACAACCTTTCCAATCGTTCCAACGATACCAGCCATATCAACCTTTTCAACAACAGCAATCTGACAGGCCCGTCTCAACACCAGGACCATCAACATCGACCTCCTGTTCTCAAAATCATCAACAACAAGGCCAATCTTTACCAAAGCCACATGGGAAGGGTAAGGGCTATCAATGCTACTGATGCCCCTATTCATATCCTTCTAATGTCCTACGGTTCGACCTACACAAGATTATGACCCTTTCTCCCTTTTTGGGAATATATTACGACCAGTGGGTTCTTAACATTATCTCATCAGGTTACCGCATTGAGTTTGATTCCGCTCCCTCTTTGGGCAACTTTAAGTTCACTCCATACTCTTACACTCTCCAAGATGACATCTCTACTTTGCTTGACAAGCAAGCTATTGTCTCGGTTCCAAATACAGACTTCCCTTATGGTTTCTATTCCAAATATTTCACGGTCCGAAAAAGGATGGGGGCCTCTGTCCAATCCTCGATCTCAGGGATCTCAATAGTTAACATTCGACCTTGAAAGATTAAAATGTTGGTGCTTGACACCATTATTCCCCTTCTCTCACAGGGAGACTGGTTTGTCCTGAACAACCTCAAAGATGCCTATTTTCATATATCCATCCATCCATCCCATCACAAATTCCTCAGGTTTCATTTCAACAACTCGGCTTACCAATTCTACTCCCTCCCATTTGGACTCTCAACAGCTCCCAGAACTTTTACAAAATGTATGGCACCATTCCTCCGCTTACAGGATATCCACATTTACCCTTACATCGACGATTGGCTCATTGTGGCAAAGTCTCGTCTTGATGCCAGAAGGGCCACCTGGGTAACCCTAGACACTTCAAAACCTCGGTCTCCAAGTCAGTCATTTGAAGTCACATCTGGAACCATCTCAAATGACTATTTTCATTGGTGCCCGACTCGATTCAAGGTAAGCCAGGGCATTCATACCACAAGAAAGAATTTAAAAAACTGAGACATGTCATAGCCTCGTTTCAACCTAAAGCCTTCATCCCAACTCGTCGCGCCCAACCACTTCTTGGACTCATGTCCTCAACAACGTCCATCATTCAACATGCAAGCCTCAAGCTAAGATCCCTTCAGGCGTGGTACCTCGCACAGTTCAATGCACTAACAGACAACCAATCCAAAAAGCTGCAAGTAACACCAGAACCCTCATATCAACTCACCTGGTGGACCCCAACGTCCAATCTCCTTGTCGACCACCTATTCCGACCTCTTCAACCAACTGTGCAAGTCACTACAGACGCCAGTCCCTCCGGATGGGGCGCTCATTGCCTACAATACAAAGTTCACGAACTTTGGATAAGACTGGAATCAACATTTCACATAAGTCACATGGAACTGTGATGATCTCCTCTGAAGCCCTTATCCCCGCAGGCCTTCACAAGGTTCTCGCTCTTCTTCCTTCTTCGCTGCCACCAGGCATTACTGCTTTAATACCATTTAATCATGGAGACTTGTGTGCTTTTAAAACTTAAGTCATTTATTAGATCAGGGAACTTAACATATGATTGATAGGTAAATCACAGATTGTAAATCACCAATATTTGTATCAAAACCTGCTATAACTTTAAACCTCTTTTAATTCTCCATTCCATTTATCGTTCTTACAGATCTGTAACTCACTCTTAGTTCACTTTTAAGTTTCACATCGATGATTTTGCCTCGAGGTCAAACGCAAAATTCAAGACTTATTGTGCTCGAGCTGGGGCTGATGCCGGTTCCATCAGAGATGCATTCATGATCCCCCCAATTCCACTAGTACAGCGAACAGTGATTCGAATCCATTATTTTCAATCCAATGCGATCTTGATAGCCCCCTGGTGGCTGAGACAACCATGGTTTCCTTACCTTCAATCGATCTTGACAGACACATTCCGACTCCCTCTGTTCCCGAATCTTCTGATGCTGAACGGAGGGATGGTCTACCACCCAGACCTATCCTCAGTTCACTTGACAGCTTTGAGGATACTCCCGACATTCGGTCAGTCTTAGATCGAGTTCGAACGCCATCAACCAAACTCCTATATGAAAACAAGTGGAAATCCTTCCTTAAATACACGAAAGAAAACTTACCTGCTATACCTGTCTTTATCAAAACTTTACTAACTTACCTTCTTCATCTCTTCAACTTGGGTTTGTCTCTCCCAACCCTCAGAGTTTACATTGCAGCGATTGTCGCACATCAACCAGATGACTCCTATTCTGCAAGACTCTTTTCTCATCCAGCTGTAAAAAATTTCTCAAGGGACTTAACAACAACCTTCCCCCACCTCAACGTATTACCCCTCAATGGTCACTTCAAATCTTTCCCATTGCACTTATGCGTCCTTCATTCAAGCCCATGGCCACATCTGACCTGAAATTCCTTACCTTGAAGACAGTATTCCTTGTAGCTGTCACTTCAGCTAAGAGGGCCAGCGAGCTCATTGCTCTTAGGTCAGATCCTCCTTTCATCCAATTTCATCCTAAGGTAACTCCGTACAGTCAATCCTCGACTTACGAACTTAATCCATTCCAGAAGGACGTTCGTAAGTTGGAAAGTTTGTAAGTCGAATACAAATTTCCCATAGGGATGCATTGAAACTTACTTAATGTGTTCCTATGTGAAAAAAGTCATAAACAACAAAAAATTAAAACAAAGTCACTTACCAGGTACTACAGACCGAGCCTGGCTCCTCACAGCACCCCCATAGCTGTGGAACAGCCGAAAAAGAGCACCCAAACCCTGGGACAGCAACCAGCAGGCAGGCTGCAATCATCCCGGAGAAACAGCAGCCATCTTGAGAGACAGACAGCCATGTGGTCGCCTCAAAATGGCCATCACCTCCAAAATGGCCGCCGCCTCTCTGCTCTTTTTCCGGCTGTTCCAAGGCCACAAGTAAGTGACTTTTTTCTTCCGATGGTGCTGAGAGGACTGGCCGGGGACCTCTGAAAGCGGCACTGGCGGCGGCGGGTTGGTTGGTTGGGGCGGCAGTGGGGAGGTTGTAACTCGAATCCAAGTTCGCAAGTAGAGGGAATATTTCCCTATCAGAGCCGTTCATAAGTCGAAATGTTCATAAATAGGGCCGTTCGTATGTTGAGGGTTGACTGTACTTTGATGTCTCTTTCCTCCCGAAGATTGTAACTGACTTGCATAGAAACCAACCAGTCATTCTCCCATCCTTCTTCAAATCTCCATCATCTCCTCTAGAGCACATGCTCCACAAAATCAGTGTTAGACGTTTGTTAGCATTTTATTTGGATAGAACCAAAAATTTCTGGACCACCAATAGACTATTCATCATGCTAGACGTTCGTTAGCATTTTATTTGGATAGAATTTCTGGACCACCAATAGACTATTCATCCGTTTCCATGGTCCTAACGGGAAGCCCAGCATCCTCTCAGTCTATATCCAGATGGATAGTACAGGCTATATCCCTTGCTTACCAACTGTCAGGAAAGCCAGCACCTGAACAAATAAGGGCTCACTCTACTAGGGCACTCTCAACTTCAATTGCCTTCCAACGCGGGACAGACATTCCAGATACCTGCTGTGCTGCAACCTGGTCCACCCTGTCAACCTTTGTCAAGCACTACCAGCTAGATGTCAGAGCACGCACTGATGCTAGATTTGGCAGAGCTGTTTTAGCATCCTTCCAACTGTGACGTCCAACCTGCCGGTAAGTGAAGCTTGCTAGTCACCCATATGTGTGCATTCACAGATGTTACGATGAAGAAAAGAAGGTTATTTACCTGTAACCATAGTTCTTCAAATGGTCCTCTGTGAATTCACACTACCCACCCGTCCTCCCCTCTGTCTGTCATGGTGCCTTAATAGTTCAATAACTTTGCCCGGCGGACTTGTTCTAGGAACTGAGGGGAACGATAGGTGAGAGGATCATGTGCTTCATGGGAGATCACACCATAAAATTGTTACTTTTAGCTGTAGAATCTTCCAAGACTGTCAGCGCAGGCGCAGACTAAACCCATATGTGTGAATTCCCAGAGGACCACTCAAAGAACTATGGTTACAGGTAAGTAACCTTCTTTTAATGTGATAATGCAATTAACATTGGGAAAAAAATAAGATAATCATTGCCTTTTTAACTTCTTGAATCCACTGTAACATTGTTACGAACAATGTTATCCACTAACAGTTTGTTTCTGGGGTGCGAGAATTAGATCAGGCATTATGTAGTGAGGGAGGCGTAGGAACAGATCTGGATTCCTTTTCTTGGGCTTGTTCACATGACAGAAAGTTTCCATTCTTTCTTCTAGGAGTTAGTGCTGGCTGAAATAGAGACTACTGTTCTTCCTTCATACAGCTCACCACCTCTACCTGCTCTTGAACATCTATTTCCAGTGGAAGTAACACATGTTGTGTCACCTAATGAGGTAGTAAATATGAGGAGCAGTCAGATCCATTTTTATTTGCCTCCTTTCTACAAATGCATGAGATATCTTGTGCAACATTTATGAAAGTTACTGTTCAGCAAGTATTTTAAAGATAGGTGTAGTAATCAGATGTAATCAGGTCAATTTTGAGTTATGGTGACTTTTCAGGGTGTTTTTTTCCTATGGGGTACTCAGAAATGGCTTACCATTCTAGGGATACCCTGCGCCCCAAATCAACACAGGCTGGGTCTTGTCCTAAAAGGCATGGTGGAAAATCAAACTCCTAGCCCCTGGCTCTGTAGCCAGGTGCTCCATTTCCTTAAACTATATAGGATTTAATAATTATCTGAAATAATGCTTATGTTACATATCTTTAAGCATATGATAATAAAAAAATATATACAGACAACAGGTAGTCTATGGAACCTTTTCCAGGTAGTCCTGAATAAGAATGTGTTGTAAGCCGCCTAGAGTGGTCGCAATTGACCAGATAGGCGGGGTATAAATGGAATAAATGATAAATAAATATTTTGTCTGCATATTCTCACAGCATTGTTTTTCTGTTTTATTATCTAAAGAAGCTTGACCACTTTATTAAACTGGCAGTAGGATAACTCTGCTGGGGCAAAAAGCAAGCATGGGTGAGAGGAACCCATGCCATATGCAGGGATCACTAAGAGAATCTATTCTCATACTTCACCAGATTTTACCCCTGCAAAATTGCATCTTTATAGACCATATAAAACCTAGTGGAACAAGAAAACCCGCAAGGAGAGAAGTTCTTCCTCCAATGGAACAAATTTTGAACTTATTTTTTTCTCCAGCTGTGTTTTTAACTCAAGGCATCATAATACATGCCGCCTAAAGAGAAGCATAGTGAGTGCTTGTGATCCTGTACCACACCTTTAACCTCCACTGACACTGGTTATCTTAAAGAGGAAGCCTGTATGTACATCAAAGTCTTCTAATAAAGCAGGTTTATTGGTTAACAGTTCTTCCATTTCCTCAATGTTCAACAAGTCATAACTCTTAACCTTCTCAAAACACATCAGTTCTCCTTTTAACACTAGGGGTGACGACCTTATAACTCCAGAGCTCTCTTAGGAGTAGTGCCTGATCTATCAGGTGCAAAGTCAGTTAACGTTACTGCTGGGGGTAAAAAACCCAGCCCATCTCTGGCTCCCAAACCTTTTTGCCCCGATTCTTCCTCAGTCTCGGTCAGAAGAGACTGGCCCCACGGGGTCTCCCCGTTGTTGTTATTTAGTTAAGTCGTATCTGACTCTTTGTGACCCCATCTCCCAGTTGTCATCGTTTAGTCGTGTCCGACTCTTCGTGACCCCATGGACCAGAGCACACCAGGCCCTCCTGTTTTCCACTACCTCCCAGAGTTTGGTCAAACTCATGTTGGTCGCTTCAATGACACTACCAGGTCTCCTAGGGTTCTCTGTAAATCTCTCTTGTTCTCTCCTTTGAGCCTCTCTTTGTTGCCAGGCTTTATATTCCTTTCACCTTTTTCTTACTTCAGTCTTACCCTAGTAAGGTAGCTCTCTCTATATTTGCCTTTTCCACTCTGCATATTCTCTTAGTACTTTAAACTCTATCCATTCCCCTGTCCAGGGGCCTTGTATTATTTCCACTAAATCCCCTTATCTATTCTTTCCTCCTGCATCCAACGAACTTCTTCCTCCTCTATTTTTGAACTGTCCTCCCTCCTTTCTTCCCCTTCTTTTATATCTTCTTTCCTGCCAAAATGACGCCCTCTGGTATTTGTGCTTCTTCCTGCAACTCTCCCAAAATGTATGTCAATTCTTTCTCTGTCTTTCTGCTGGTAGAGACAGACAGAACACTCTGGAGTGCATTTGCAGGTACTCCCAGCCTCACAGTGCTTAAAGCAGGGGTCTCAAACATGCGGCCCGGAGGCCATTTGCGGCCCCCGCCTTGCCTGCCCCCCCAGTGCCCATTTGCGGCCCACGCCTTGCCTGCCCCCCCAAAGTGCCTGCTGTCAAGAGTTCAAAAAAAGCCTTGCTCGCTGGCTCTCTCCCAAGACAGCGCCTCTTGCACCCTCCCTATGGACCTGCAGCCTGCCAGCCAGCCCACCTGTCTGTCAGCTAAGGAAACTCCTGGGCAGCTTCCTCTGGCTCTTGCTCCACTTGGCAGAAAAATCTGATGTGGCCCAGCCTCACCCAGACTCTTCCTCCATCGGCCCCCAGGTAAATTGAGTTTGAGACCCCTGGCTTAAAGCTTATATCCAGGTTGGGAATCTGCCTATATCACCAGTTCAGTTCAAGTCTAAAAATGTTTTTCATAAATCTTCATTAAAGCCCAAACTTCCTGTTGAATAATTTTAGGGGATATATGATTTTAATAACTAATGAAAGGATAGCTGTTTTGTGTATCAAATGTTGCTTTAGATGTTTAGCCCCTTCCTAAACTGATTGTAGCTGTGTTTATACATTAATTAGTGTCTTCTAGTTTTTCTCTTTCTGTGATCACAGAAAAATATATCAGTCCAAGACCATTTATTTTTGCTGTATTTATTTTTGCTGATCAGACTAGACTGGAATTCAGATGTGCATAGCTCTTTGGTGCTTTACAAAAGGAGATTGCTGAGAACCAGGATAGGTGATAAAGAATCATCATGCTCTTATTTTTAAATTATGCTCTGCTTTATTCATTTCAAAGTGCATTTTATAAATTTTATTTAAATTGGCAGGCAGTTGTTTCAATATGTCTTACATGAATTTGTGGGCATTCAGATGCTATGTAGATACATGTCCCAAATAACAAATTTGAGTAATAGGAACTTTCAATGCATGCGTTCTGTCTTGGAAGATACATTTTCAAGTTGCTTGGGAAAGCCTTCCAGTATTCTGTTTACATTAATATTTTTGCTCCTGTTGTATTACAGTTCTTTAATATTTTATGCCTTTGAGCTGTTGACAAAATGCTCTATAAATACTTGTCCAACTCTGATTGAGGAGTGGCATGGGGCAATACTCTTCCCATATTCTTTTACCTAACACTTTTCCAATACTTAATATTTTAATAAAAGGATTTTTGTTTCAGATCTACATTGCCATTGCTCATTCAGACAATGCCAGCCAGCACGACAATACAGAGGACAGAGGAACTGAATGCAACTCTAAAACGCTTAAGGAAATGTTGAAGTATTATAATGAAAACACTGCCTCCCTTTCTTTTCTGACGGATTTTCGAACTGGTATCTTGCTTTTTTAAAAAGTTAATTGATACATGAAAACTTGCACTTACCTGTTCTGTACCCTGAAGGCAAAATTTTGAAATTATTTCAGGAATTAGAGTATCAGAGTTGGGGCATGGGGCACGTATCCAGACAGAATACATGGCTCCTTAAAACTATATGAAGTGTACCTCGGTGTGTTTTAACCTGACCTCCCAGACTTAACACACTTACATTTTTTAAAGCACATGGAAATCAGAATAGACACGGGTGCTAAATTGTTAAGCTTCAGTCAGCAGCACTTAGTTCTGCCATACATACAATGTTGTATCTATTTTATTGGCTTGCTTGTTTGTAGCTACTACCCTGATGTCCGATCTTTGATACTTCATTAGGAGAGGGAGAGAGTGCTGCAAGTTAGTGTTGCAAAGGATTATTGGACTGCGCAGCTAGTTCCACAGAACAGGATACAAAGTACACTGAGCTGTCATGTTCACTTACTCTAAACAAGTGTACATGATGCCTCTCCCATATGGGCTAGCTTAAAGATAGTCTGTGAGGAAACTTAAATCCCTCTAGATCAGAGTTTCCAAACCTTTTTTTTTTTTTAGTCGCAGCCCTCTTTTATAATAACTAAGTAACCTGTGGCCCATCACTGTTTGCGCAAAAAGGCATTTTTCAGAATATACAGTAATTCTAAAATAATTTAATGGTTATACTTGGATCTGGGCAACCAGCTTCAAAATTTGCAACTGAGTGTTTATTAAGCCCTCCCTCTTAACAGTCCCTTGATGGACTCTGGGAAGTAGAGGTAACCGGGGGTGGGTCGGTTTAAAATTGGATTTTACTAGGGGAGAGCGAGTATTCTTTCAGGAAGGGAATTGTTGCCCGTCTTGTCCTCCCTTCAAGCAGTAGCACTGCCACCACTACCTCCTCAGCCATCCTGCCTAGGATGGTGGCAAATGGCTGAGATGCAATGCTGGATCAGGGCCACACAACTAAGCTAGTTTTGCCACCAATTTGCTTCCTGGTTGTGGCCAGAAGCCCACACACACAGGGCATGATGCCTGGCCAGCACTCCAGAAAATTAAAGAGAACGTTGCTTTAGCAGCAGCAGCATCCTTTTCATCTCCCACCACCAATTCTCCCTGTCCAGCCTGCCACTGCCTCCTCACCTCTCAACCTCCACCATGGTCAGCCTGGCTTGCAGGGCTGTGGTTGGAATCCACCATCTGCTCCAAACCAGCCAGGCACCAGAGCCAAGAAGGAGCCACTGCCACCACCATCAAAAGAGAAGAGCATGTCACCAGGAATGCCCAGGAGTCTCACAATGGGAAGCAAAGAGAACTTGGCAGAAGGAAACTGGGGAGGCAGGGTGTGAGTCAAGGGTGATGTGTCTCCCTCTGAAAACCAATGCAAAATCCCTTCTCCCCCCCACCCAAAAAAAAAGAAAGAACTGCAACCTCTTTGGAGGTCCTAACCCACAGATTGGGAACCTGTGTTCTAGATGTTAGATATAAATTAAATTGCTTTCTTTATTTGCAGGTATGCCTTGCCTAGCTCAGTACAGAGGAGGGTTGTGGCATAGAGCCAAAGTGCTCTCAGTTAAGAAATTTCACCCTCTTTTAATTGTTGTGAAGTTTGTTGACTATGGATCAACTGGCACTGTGCCCACAAGCAGGTAGGCCTGTAAATTGCACATACAGTTTTTTAAGACTGGTGAAACTATAATAATACTTCATACCAAATATAAGTGGCAGCATATTTCTGTAGTATTGCCGTTCCAATTAGTTACATTATTCAGGGGTTGTCACCATGAATAGCATTACTTAACCTATTTCATTTCAGATTACGACAGATACCTTTGGTGTTGATGCAATATCCTGCTCGAGCATTCAGAGTCTTGCTGGCAGGATTTAGACCTGCTTTATCTGATCCAGCATCAGAAAGAGTTCCTTACTGTCCTGAATGGACCATGGATGCTTTGTGGGAATTTATAAGTCTCATTGAAGGGAAAAAACTGTGTGCTTCCACAGTGGTAAGGCCTTCTTTCCTTAGCCTTATTTTATCTTCCTGTTCAGTTTTCCTAGAGATAGTACTGAAACTTGGGATTGCCAGCAGAGAGAGGTAAATCCTTATCCTTCACAGGCCAAAACATACATGCAACAATTAAATGTCCCATTGGGAGGTTGGCCCACTAGAATGGGAAGACCACTATTTTCGATCTATGGTTAGCAATATTGAGACAGCCATTGCCAATCCAAACTGAACATTTATAGATAACCTATCATTAGAAGAGGAGATTCATCAGGTGCTGAAATTCAACATTTGTAACTCCAGATATAAATCAGTAATTTTATTTTACTGGTTTGTTTGTTTAATTGATGGATGACTGGGAACTAAGCACAGGCTGTGAACTTTTAACACATCACTTCTTTGGACTTCTTACTCCAGAACATCTAGAAAAAAACAACCTTGATCATTTGGCCAAATAAGACTGGTTTCTGCTGGCTTCCAGCCCTTGAAGCTTTCCCCATATAACCTCTGTTAACCTCTAATGTTCTGTCAGTGTTCAGTAGTCTATGTTTACTGCGTCTAAAGTATTAGCATGGGCATAGAGAGGAATATTGCTGCATACCACACTAGTTTCTGTCAGTGTTCAGTAGTCTGTTTACTGCATCTAAAGTATTAGCAATGGCACAGAGAGGAATATTGCTGCATACCACACTAGATCTCACTGTTCCTGTTCATGGGCACTACAGTAGCTTGACAGCACGTTCAGAGGGTCTTAAATCAGAGGTAGCTTGACAGCACATAACAGTAATGAGAGTCATCTCGGTGGGGAATAACAGGTTGGGTAAAAGCCTCCGTTAAGCCACAGTGAAATTAGTGGGAATTACTCCTGGATGGGAAGGATTTAAAAGCTCTGAGTTGCTCTCTGGCACTGCACACAGACTCACAGCTAAAATGACTACCCATTCTTTTGAAATGTGTATTTGTGCATCTTTATATTCCTGCTGTAGTCTTCTGCTGAAGCACAAGGTGATTAGAGGCTTAGATATTTCTTTTTGAGCCAAAGCGAACAAAACCTCAAATATCAGTTTTGGAGGAAAGGTAGCATTTAAATCAAATAGTGGCTGAAATCCTGTTGCTTAATATAATAGTAAGTTGCATTATAATAGGACCACTGGATCAATCGGGATTTAGTGAGGCAATGCCTACATAAATTCCACTGATTCAAATGGGCCTATCCAGTTATGAATTGCTTTTAACATAGTAAAATCACTTTAACATAGTAAATCACAACTAGAGTAGGCCCATTTGAATAAGTTGAACTTAAGTAGGAGCTACTTCACTGTATCCCCATTGATTCAAAGGATCTACTCTAGTATTTTGCAATACACTAGGCAAGAGGTTTCAGCCAATAAATCATAGACTGCGTAGCTTAGAAGCAGCTTAGCCACTCACCCATCCCAGGGGAGAAAATTATTTCTGCCTCAACAGCTCAGCTGAACTGCATTTCAGTGCTATGTATTGCAAAAGTTTTGCCAGGATTCTGGATAGCCAAGAAGGTGAGGGGTTGTCATTTACATTGGAGTTGTATTGATTGCAAGGCTTGACAGTGACCCAGAATGCAACTTGACATTTGGATACGTCTTGTTTCCAGACATACTCACCAGAGCATACTGTGTTTTTATATGAAGATGGAAACCTGATTCACATTAGGCTGGTAGAAATGGGGCTTGCAGAATTAAGCTAATAAAAGGTAAGCATGAAATACCAAATTCAGATGTGTTTGTGTTCTGTTAGCATTAGAAAAATTGAATCATGCCGTCTTCCCAAGCAAGTAAATGGTTTGTACATGCATTCGGTTCACTTGGGTGTTCTAAGTGAACAAAAAATATTTGAGACAATTATACTGTACCACCTATGAACAGTGGGCAGCCTCTTCTACAGGACTCTAATGCCCCAGATATTTTGTCCCACTAGCCCCACCCGGCATGAGCAGTAGTAGTACATTGAATGAATTAGTTTGAAATGAGTGAACAAACTTTTGAAGTCCCAGGGCGGCTTATGCCCATCCCTGGACCTTGGATCAACCTAAACTTTTTTCTTACCTTTTTTTCACTTGAACTCTTAAGTATCCCATGAAATATTTTTTTAAATTGACTTTAGAGGTATGGGGGCCAGATATGGAGGGCACAAGGGGATTTCCTGAGCTCCAGTTTTTTCAGACTGCATTTAAATGTTGGGCTGCTGGGAACACATTTAGACACTGAGGGGTTGTAGCCAGCCCTCAGCTTTTCAGCCTAGAATTTTGCATGGCAGTTAAGTCATAAAACAAAATGAAGACAAAGTGACAAGATTGCTTAGATGGAGAAATTCCTGAAAGTATTCCATACCAATATGTGTTACCCAGTCTCCAGTGTACTCTTGAATTAGGTAGATGTCAAACTTAGGCTTTTTATTTTTCCTTCACTGAACGACTGCTGGGTTTGATTTCTCAGTGGTGAGGGAAAGATACCCTGGGAGTCATAATTTTGCTACCTAGAGTGGACCCTTGACCTACGGAATTAATGCATATTGGAACGCTGGCTGCAGGTCGAAAAGACCTTAAGTCAAGTGTCCATTTCCCATAGGAATGCATTGAAAACCCTGTAATCCATAACCGGCCGAAGAACCCCCACACAAACACACACACAAAAATTAAAATAAAAACACCTTACTGTCCGAAGCCTTCCAGAGGTCCCACTGCCATCGGCGCTGCCCAAGGGCTTCCCCACCGCCACCAGAGGCCTCTCTGAGGTCTGGTAGTCCAGGTCCACCCTGGGAAAGCCTGTGGGGGCAGGGGACCTTCGAGAGGCCTCCCATGGGGATGGAGAAGTCCTGGAAGGCCTCCGGAGGTCCCTCCCTCCACCGATCGTGCTTCAGAGGCGGGGGGGAGACCTCCGAGATGCCTTCTATGGCAGTGGGGAAGGCCTCTGGAGGTCCCCCGCCGCTGCTACTGGGAGCCAAGCCATGCTGGTCGATCCCAGCCATGCTCAGGCTCCTGGACTCCCCCTTCTCCGGCAGCCACCGCTGGGAGCTGTGCCATGCTCGGACAGCGGCGGGGGAAGTCTAGGAGTCCGAGCATGGCTGAGATCACGTGGCTTGGCTCCCAGCAGCGGCGGCAGGGGACCTGCGGAGGCCTTCCAGGGCTTCTCCACCACCATGGGAGGCATGTCAAAGGTCCCCGCCACTGCCACCAATCGTGTTTCGGAGGCACGATCGGCGGCGTTGGGGGGGGGACGACCTCTGAGATGCCTCGCATGGTTGCGGAGAATCCTGAAAGGCATCCAGAGGCACGATCAGCAGCCT